GTCTGTTGTTTCAGAAGCCCATTTTTGGATTGGGTCTTTAAATTTGGGGGGTCTGATTTCTTTAAGTTCTTTATATATTCTAGATAGTATACCTTTGAGGAACAGCTGCCAAAAATTTTTTCCCACATTGTAGGTTATCTCTTCACTCTGTTGGTATTTTCTCTTTCTGTGCAGAAGCTTTTTAATAAGAAGAGATCCCAGTTGATTCTTTGTGCTAGTTCCCGTGTGACTGAGTTTTTGTCATAAAGTCTTTTCCTACACCAATGTCTTCAAGGGTTCTACCTAACCTATCTTCCAGCAGGTTTAGTGTTTCCATTTTAATATTAGATCTTTGATCCATTTTGGTTTTAGTTTAGTACATGGTGAGAGATACAGGTCTAATTTTAATCTTTGGCAAGTTGAAACCCAGTTTTTCCAGCACCATTTACTAAAGAGCTGTCTAGAGCTATTGCCACTACTCAAACTCTTTAATGAAATTGAAAGGAAAGCAATACTCCCAAATTCATTTCTGGAAGCTACCATTACCTTGATCCCAAAAGCAGAGAAAGACCCAACCAAAAAAGAGAACTAAAGGCCAGTCTCCCTAATATGAACACTGCGTTTTTGTTTTTGTTTTGTGCTTCTGGGGATTGAACCCAGGGCCTCAGAGTATGGTATACAAAACCCTCTAGCCGAACCCCTTGTTCTTTTTCTTTTAACTTTGAAATATTCTATGAAACATCCTTAGTAAAGTACCAAAACATAATCTTTGGGGTCATTCTTCAAAGAGAGTGAAGAAAAATCTGGAAACTTCTTAAAAAGTTGGTGTAAAAACACAATTCTATTTAAATAAATTGGGGGTATGCTATATTCTATCTCATCTTACCATAAATTTGTTTGGCTTTTGTTTCACATCTTTTTTTTTTTTTGGTGCCCATTGGTTATACAATATAGTATTAATGAGTTTCATTTTGGTAGATTCCTACATGCATGTAACATACTTTGATCATTTTTACTGTCCCTGTCATCTCCTTGTATCACCTTCCCCCCTTCTTTTGTATTTTGTGGGGTGGGTTTCAAGGAATTCCCTTAAACACGAGCATGACTATAACAACAAATAATAGCTAACCTTTTGAATCAGATGCTTACTAAGTGCTTTCTGTATATCATCTCACTTGTAGACTATAACTTTGTGAGGTAGATTCTGTTAAATATCAGGAAACTGAAACAGGAAAAGTTAATATAACCTGGAATAATACAGAGAAGGTAACTCAGCCAGAATTCTCAGACTTACCTTATGACATTTATATTTATTCTTTATACTGTGCAGTACAGAAACTCTAGAGAGGTTAATAATATAATGGGAGTATCTGTGTGTGCATGTGTGTCTGTCTGTCTGTCTCTCTGTCTCTATGTTAATGATCAAACCCAGAGCCTTGCCCATGCTAGATAAGCATTCTACCATTAAGCTACATCTCCAACCCAAGAAAATATATTTCTTTTACACTTCATACTTTGGTACTCAAGTGCTTTGAAACTTGTTGAATTTTGTACAACATGCATTTTGATTTAAAAATTTTGTCCTGGTGTTTGGTACTTGATGCACCAGCTAGAATTTGTGCGTGTCAGTTGCTTTGTGACTCACTATCCTTTCCAGCCAAAATTTATTTGGTACTTCTTTTTGGTACTCATCTTGCCTCCTGGAACCAGTTAACAATGAGTACTGAGTTACCACTGTAATTAGAATATATAAAAATACATTGGAGCAGGGGTGACATAGCCCTTTAATTCCAGCTGTTTGGGAGACTGAGGTGGGGGGACTCAAAAGTTTGAGGCAAGCGTGGGCAACATATCAAGGACCCACCTCAAAAATTAATTTTTTAAGAATTAGAAATATTTACTGTCATTTTAATGTCTAAAATTGATTTTCTAGGGTTAGGGATGTAGTTCAGTGGTAGAGCATATGCCCTAGCATATATAAGGCCCTGGATTTGATCCCCAGCACTGAAAAAATGATATTCTAATGAGTGAAATTGTCCTGTCACTTAACAGAAAGTCAGATTGAGTTATATGTAATTCACAAGTAACACATGAGTAATACACTCATAGCATTTAGCCCAGTAAGTATTAGTTGGTCTTATTATTTATTTTTTATGGGCCTTTCTTCTTCCAGTCGGAGTCAGTTTGTATTACCTAATGTCTTCATTTCTTTGCCTGTATGCTTTTTTGACTTATTAAACATATATTCTATTATTTATATGACTTATGTATTGTTTGTTTTTATAGTCATAGGGAACTGGAATTAGGTTTATTTTGTTCTGTTTGTTGCCACAAATGAAAAATCACCAATTATTGGTGCTATACAAATGAAAATAGCAAATAGCAGTAGATTAGAGTACTATAATCCTAAGGTTGAAAATTTTACATACATGTGTATACATGTATGCATTTATTGATTGGATTTTTTTTTTACAACAATTACAGGTTCACAGCAAAATTGAGAGGAAAGTATGGATATACCCCATGCACCCTTGCTGCCATATGTGCAGCATGAATTAAAAATAAATTTACAAGCAGCTGGTTGTTTTGGTTTTTGTTGTTGTTGTTGTTGCGGTAACTGGAGTCGAACTCAGGATCTTGAGCTTGCCAGGCAAGATCCCCAGCCCCATCTGTATTTTTTTTAAGATACAATTCCCAACCATAAAATGTATTCTTAAAGGGTATCAATCAGTATTTGTTGTGTTAATGTATTCACAAAGCCTGATACTTTTTTTTTTTTGGCAAAAAAACAGACATGTAGATCAGTGAAACAGAAGACACAGAAACAACCCCCACGCACCTACAGCCATTTAGCTTTTGACAAAGGGGCCAAAAACATACATTAGAAAAAGATGGCCTCTTTAACAAACAGTGCTGGGAAAATAGGATATCTGCTTGTAGAAGATTGAAATTAAATCCCTATTTGTCACCCTATACTAAAATCAAGCCGTGCATGGTGGTGCATGTCTATAAACCCAGAAGACTGAGGCAGCACCATTGCCACAAGTTCAAGGCCAGCCTGAACTGTACAGTGAGTGAGACCTTGTCTCAAAAAAGAAAGAAAATAGCCTCAAATCAAAATGGATCAAAGTCCTAGATATAAAACCAGAAACTCAACACTTAAAGCCATAAGCATAGGCAAAAACTTCCTCAGTAGAATTTTAATAGCACGGAAATAATATCAACAACAGTCAACAAATGGGATTAACCAAATTAAAAAGCTTCTGCTAACAAAACAAGAAACAGTGAAGAGACAGCCTGGGAGGAAAAGTTTGCTAGCTAGTAGTCTGATAGAGGACAACTATTAGAATATATAAAGAATTCAGCAAAACTAACCCCCCAAAACAAATGATCCAGTCAAAAAATGGGGAAATGAACTAAACAGATACTTTTCAAAAGAACAAAGGGGCACTAAGTATATTAAAAAAATTCTAACCATTTTTTTGCCAGTATCATGTTGTTTTGTTACTATAGCTTTGTAATATTACCAGTACTTAAAATTCATTATTCAGAAAACTTTGCTTTTTTTTTTTTTGCTCAAGATTGTTTTGACTATTCTGGGTGTTTACTGATTCTATATGAATTTTAGTATTGTTTTTACTAGTCTGTAAAGAATGCTTTATATTCTAATAGAGATTGCATTAACTCTGTACATTGCTTTGGTAATACACCATTTTCAGAATATTTTTTCATTTCAAGAATGAGGTGTCTTCATTTTTGAATGTCCCTTCTAATTTTTTTTTTCAAGTTCTGTAATTTTCTTTATAGAGGTCCTTCATCTCCTTGGTTAGTTTGATTTTAGGTATTTAATTTTTTTGAAGCTATTATGAATGGAATTGTTTTTCTAATTTCTTTCCCGGTAGGTTTATTATTGCTGTACAGGAACTCTGTTGTTTTTTGTGTTTTGGGGCCAAGGATTTAGCTCAGTGGTTCCGCCGCCTGCCCTGAGAATGCAAGGACCCGAGTTCGATCCCTGGTACCAAAAAATTAAAAAACTAAATAAAAAATTTTTCCACCGCCTGCCCTGCTTTTTGTGTTTTGTTTTTTGTTTGTTTCTTTTGGTATTGGAGGTTGAACCCAGGGCCTTTACATTGAGCCCTTATGTTTCTTTGATGTTTTTGTTTGTTCTTAGAGCCAGAGTCTCTATTGCTTATCACATTTATGTTATAATTATCTCTTTAGTTATCTATCTTCTCTTTCAGGCCATTTGTTTCTCAAGGACAGAGACTGTTTTTGCTTTTACATTATCCTCAGGACCTAGAATAAGGCCTATCTGATTTAAAAGGCTTTTTAGAGGGCCGGAGATTTAGCTCAGTGGTTCCGGCGCCTGCCTCACAAGCACAAGGTCCCGAGTTCAATCCCAGTACCAAAAAATAAAATAAATGGCTTTTTAGTACATTTTTTTGTGAATGATTATAGCCATAGATAATTCTTGCTGCCCATAAGCCTTATGTATAAACTAAAAGCTTCATATACTATAGTCAGTGGTGAATATTAAAATGGGCTCTTTAGGGCCGGGGATTTAGCTCAATGGTTTTGCTGCCTGCTGCGCAAGCGCAAGGACCTGAGTTAGATTCCCGGTACCAAAAAAAACAAAACAAAAAATGGGCTCTTTGTTGCTAAGGCACTTGAAAGATTATCTAGTTAGCCTTCCCTTGTGTAACACATGCTGTCACACACACAATACATGTACACACAAGGCATATTAAAATCCATAGAGTTTAAATGATTGCTGGTGAAGTTGAGACTAAATATATATGTTTCTTCATTTTTTTACTGTACCATTCTGTTTTCTTTTACACTTTGGTTTATTTTGGTGAATAACAGTAAAAATTCATTTGTTTATGGAAAGGACCTTGAAGATATTAACTTAATTCATATTATCTTTTCACTTTCAATTATAAGTAACCAGTTGCTAGCCAGAATACTGAAAAAGAAATTTTAAATAAGTTTTGACAACTGTGGCATTTTCTATTTTATAGACCTCCGTGAGTGAAAGTCTTCAGAGGGAAGCTGCAAAGAAGCAGGCCATGAAACAGGTAAGGTGGATTACTGAAGTAAGTGCATTTGGTGAAGTATTTCGGCTCTTTTGTGTGTGTGTATAGTACCAGGGATCAAACTCAGGAGCTTGCACTTGCCGGGCAGGTATGGCACCACTGAGCTACAACTCCAGTCCCTCAGCTCATATTTTTAAGTATCAGTTTTAGTATATAGGTGCTTAGATCAAAGCAAAGCACACATGTATAATGAAATAATTTTATCTTGACCATTGTTTTCTAAAAAATGTATAAAAATATTTCTTGATTTATATGAATTAGAGATTTTCCTGTCACACAGAATTAGCTTTTGAGGAGGGAATGTGGCTACACCCAGTGCCTCATGTATGTTAGACATGCACTGTACCACTGAGCAGCATCCCAGCCAAGAATTAGCTCTTTATTGCTGGCTGCAGATTAAATCATCTCTGCTTTCACATGACTCACTTAACGATGACTTCTTTCACTTACTGTTATTAGTTATTAAATTTCTATTAACGAGCTTATTTGCACACACCTCTACGCCTGCTCTCGTGTGTGTGTGTGTGTGTGTGAAAGAGAGATTGATTTCATAGTTTTATAATTATTTAACATTCCTCTACCAAGAAAAGTCATTGTAAGAACCTAGTGTTTCCTAGCACGTTTTACATACATAATGTTTTAAGATTCTCACAAATATGTCCATGGTCCTGATTAAGAAATCTCAAACTTGGAAAAATTACCCTTTATCATGACATACTAATTCTAGAACTAGGCTTGAGAGTTTGCTAATTTTTATATTTTTCCTGGTACTGGGAATTGAACCCAGGGCCTTTGCAATGTCTTAAACACTTCTTTTTTTTTTTTGGTACCGGGATTCAAACTTGGGACCTTGTACTTGTGAGGCAGGCAGCACCACCACTGAGCTAAATCCCCGGCCCTCTTCAGCACTTTTTTATTTTTTATTTTGATAAAGGGTCTTGCTAAATTACCTAGACTGGGGCCGGGGATTTAGCTCTGTGGTTCTGCCGCCTGCCCTGCAAGCACAAGGACCTGAGTTCGATCCCAGGTACCAAAAATAAATAAATTACCCAGACTGGGCTTAAATTTATGATCCTCCTGCCTCAGCCTCCCAGAGTATCACCCTTTCTTTTTTTTTTTTTTTTTTTTTTTCGGTACCGGGGATTGAACTCCGGACCTTGCGCTTGCAAGGCAGGCGGTGGAACCACTGAGCTAAATCCCCAGCCCTCACCCTTTCATTTTAAAAGGATCTTTTTTTGTGTTCCACATTGTATTGGGCAACATAGAAATTTAAGAAAAAGTTAAAGTATGTAGATTCTACCTTTGAAACCTACAAGGCGGTGCGAGAGGCTCAGATTTGTGAAACAGTTTCAAAGTAAAAACATCAAATGTATCATTAAGAGTTAAATATTATAGTATAGAATGTTCTATCAGAGTTTGAAAGAAAGATCATTGAATATTAAAGACCTTAGAGATGGCCTCATTTAAGATGCAGGGGTTGAGCTGGACTTGAAACTCAGGATAAAATTTTGATGGCCTACAAGAGGACAAAGAACACTTAAGGTAGAAGAAACATAAACAAAGGCAGAGGACTTTATATGACTGATATCATAAAAACACTTTTTCAGTTAGTAAATTACAAATGGCCCCATTTTGGTACTATACTGAAAATTTATTTATTTTTTTTTTTTTGGTACTGGGAATCGAACTCGGGTCCTTGCACTTGCACAGCAGTCGGCGAAACCACTGAGCTAAATCTCCAGCCCTGAAAATTTCTTTTTTTAATATCAGGATTTTGTTGCAGAGTCGGGGGAACTAGGGATGAACCCAGGGGTACACCACTACTGAGCTACCTACCAAGTATTTCCAACCATTTATACATTTTACAACTAAACATTTTATTTCACAGCTTATCTTATTAAAGGTGATATGACTTCAGTGTTGTGCCGCACACCTGTGATCCCATTACTTAGGGAAGCTGAGGTAGAAGGATCACAGGCGCAGCCTGGACAACATAATGACTTAGCAAGACCGTAATCTCAAAATAAAGAAAGGCCTAAGGATGTGTAAGTCAATGTGACGGCCCTAGGTTCAATCCCCACTACTGAGGTGGGGGGAAAAAAATGATAAAGAGGTAGGAGATGTAGCTTATTGGTAGAGTGCTTTCCTAGCATCACAGTCCTGGGTTCAGTCCCCAGCATGGCAAAAAACCCAAATTACAGCTATCTTAAAACAAAGGTTAGCTATTTCTCTGTCGTACCTTAGAACTTTTCATATGAATAATTTATTGATGGATTGGTTGATTGTAGTGCTGACAGTTAACCAAGGGCCTTTACAATGAGCTGCATTCCCAGCTCTTTATTTTGAGATGGTCTTTCTGTATTGTTGAGGCTGTTTGAACTTGTAATGGTTTTGCCTTATCCTTCCAAAGTGCTGGTATTACAGGAGTATACCACCACACCCAGTTATCCTCACTTTTTTAGTTGAAGAAAGTTAAGGCACACAAAAAATTAAACAGGCTTGCCCAAAGTACATAAGTGGTAATTGTAGAGCCAAGATTCAAACCTCGGTAACCTAGCACTAACATTTACATTCATAGTTTTCTTTCTAAAATGTGACTGATGCCATTTTTTGTGATATATTTCTAATTTATGAACCTTTCTGAATAAAAAAAACACAGGAACTTTTGATGGTCTCTGTTGGCTGGTTCATATTTTTTTAACTTTTTTTTTTTTTAAGACCAAACTGGAGATGCAGAAGGCCCTTGCAGAAGACTCCACTGTATATGAATATGACAGTATTTATGATGAGATGCAGAAAAAAAAGGAAGAAAGTAATCCCAAATTACTTTTGGGAAAAGATCGAAAGGTTGGTAGCAAAATATGACCTTTCTTTGACCTTGATATATATTTTATATCTTAATTTTATTGTGAGATGAGAAAAAGCTAAAAACATGCAGTAGTCCAGAGTCCAAATGTTGATAAGGTGTTTGAAATGTATTAAGATTATATTTTGAGATATAATTTCTAGTTTCAGATAATAGATTTGAAGCCTTACATATAGTAATAGGGCCGGGGATGTAGCTCAGTGGCCCTGTGTCTGCCTGGCAAGCACAAGGTCCTGAGCGCGATTCCCAGTACCACCACCAAAAAAAAATAATATCCTAACAGTAGTTAGGTAAATTATTTTACTGTTTCATAACATTTTTTGAAAATTTTTCCTTATAAATTTTATGTACGAAATTTGTACTGTTCGTGCCTATACATGTTTATATATGTTTTATTACCCTTTCGGTTCTTTTGCTCCCTAGCTAATAACTGAATCATCTGCCTACATTTACCATATACATTTTCAGTTTGGAAAAAATTGTGGGAGTGGGTATTGAAATAAGTTCAAATTTTCTTTTTATGACTCTTCTTCTTTCACAAGCACAAACTAATTATGAGGATCTTTTCATCTTACAATCTCTACTAGAAGAGTGATGGTATAAAATCAAAGCTACTACTGACATATTTCTGCTAATGTGAAAAACTAGTAGAAACTTTTCTGACTCATTTATTTGTTGAATAAAAGAATGACAGGGTGAGAAAACAAAAATGTTGCTCATTTAAAAAATAGTATAAATACTATTATATTAATAGTATTATAAATCTCTGCTACACTCAGATTTTTTAAAAAAGGATTTTAACATTAGTCGCTGATAAATTTGTACAGAATTGTGGAAGATAACAATACTATTTTGGCTAGACATTTCTATACTAATAAATTCATTATAGAAATTATAACATTATTTTTTACTCTTTCCTAAATAATCTTTATTTTTCTTCCTTAGCCTAAGTATATCCACAACTTACTAAAAGCAGTTGAGATCAGAAAAAAGGAACAGGAAAAAAGAATGGAAAAAAAAATACAGAGAGAACGAGAAATGGAGAAAGGAGAATTTGATGATAAAGAGGCATTTGTGACATCTGCTTATAAAAAAAAGCTGCAAGAAAGAGCTGAAGAAGAAGAAAGAGAAAAAAGAGCTGCTGCATTAGAAGGTAAAATGTGAGGGGAAAAAGCCAGGGAAGCCAGAATCCTTGCCCTATGGTTAGCCATTTGCTCTGTCACTGAACTTTTGGGTAATAATGTTGTAATCATAATTTATATGTATGATTTCAAGATACAAGATATAAGGTACTATGTAGTAGTATAAAACAGGAAATTTTAACTGAACACACAGTTGAACTCTTTCTTCAGTAACTTATTTCTATGGATTTTTCACTTCATTCTCCTTTTGAGTTCACTATGATCATTAGAAGTCATTGCCTTAGAACATGATTCCAAATGTAAAAACATTTATTACAAGTTATATATAACACTGTAACATTTGTCAGCAACAATATAAATGTGACTAAACCCTTAATTTTGGGTGATGACAGTCTCACCACTACTCAAGATCAACTGGGTAGTTAGAAAATGAATAACATGAATTGAAAAATAAATAAATATGATACATGTGCAAGTGCTAAAGAATATCTTGGTAGGCTGGGAATTTAGCTCAGTGGTTCTGCCACCTGCCTCACAAGCACAAGGTTCCGAGTTTGATCCCCAGTACCAAAAAATAAATAAAGAGACCCAAAGAGCTTGTAAAAAAAAAAAAAAGAATATCTTGGTGCTTTACACCCATGGTCACTTCCCAAGATCTAAGTAGAATATACACTTATAAGTAATTTAGTTGGCAAGTGTACTTTTTTTATTTTTATTTTTTTGTTACTGGGGATCAAACTCAGGATGTTGCGCTTGCAAGGCAGGCGCAGTTCCACTGAACTAAATCCCCAGCCAGTGTTCTTCATTTTTAAGTGGAGGAAAACCAGATCTGTAAGATTCTGTATAAACATTTACTGTATATTCATCTAGAGCACCAGTTACCAAACTTTCTGTAAAGGACCAGATAGTAAATCTTTTAGGTTTTTTTTTAACATTTGATCTGTATCACAGGTACTCAGTTTTTCCTTTATAGTACAGAACTAGCTATGGACAACATACTAACAAATGACCAGGGTGTGTTTTCAATAAAAATTACAAATATAAGCAGCAGGCCAAATTTGGCCTAAAGGTTATAGTTTGCCAACTCCTCATCTGGAAGAATAGTTTACACGTACATCTACTAGTGATGTATATTCTACGTATGTAAACAAAATTGTGCTATACTTTATTGAATACTATATTCTTTCTTTGCTTTCTCTCAGCACGTTTGGATGTAACCAAGCAGAAAGATCTCAGTGGATTTTATAGGCACCTATTAAATCAAGCAGTTGGTGAAGAAGAAGTACCAAAATGCAGCTTTCGTGAAGCCAGGTGAGAGGTGACAAATGGAATATTTAGAAGAAAGGTACTGTTAAATAATCTGTGGGTGTGAAGTTTGTAGGGCCACTTTAATTGAAAGATAGAAGATCACAGCATTGCATGTTGCATTGTCAGCCTACCTGACCTAATTGGAATCTCTAAGAGTTTGCATTTTTAAAATTTCAAACCATACATATTTTCTTCAATTATTTTTGTTCTGAAATTCACAAAAATTGTTATAATTTACATATAAACATTCTCTGTTGTTGAGTTTCAAAAATCAAACGTAGTGGGGTTTTTTGGGTTTTTTTTTTTTTTTTTGGCAGTACTCGGGATTGACCCTTGAGCATGGTAGGCAAGCCCTCTAATCCTGAACTACATCCCCAGCCCAACTTAGTTTTTAAATGTACAAATTTCTCAATATTTAAGTGGTTTGAGTCTTACAGATAACCTTAATGAAGAAGCAAAACCAAATTACGATCATTTTTTCTTTCTTTTTTAAGTTGAAAGTATAAGTATCCTTTATGCCCTGGTGCAATAAAATGATTGCTGTCGGAATTAAGGAGAAATTAGGAATGAATCTGGTGTTACACATTTTTATATGCATGTTCAGATAATACATAAAAAAATTTTTAGGTTTATTTGTGCTTTTTATGTGAACAGACCCAGTCTCCATAAAATACAATTCATATATCAAAGGCTAAAACTGCACTGTCCAATACATAACTACTAGTAACTATAAAATCTTTGCCAGGCATGCCTGTAATCTCAGCACCTGGAAGGTTGACACATTAGGATCAGTTCAAGGCCAGCCTGAACTACATAGTAGGATCCTGTCTCAAAAAAAAAGAAAAGAAAATCTAAACTTTTAATCAACTCAGGTCATATTTCACATACTCAGCTGCCACATTTAGCTAATGACTGCTGTACTGAGTAGCTCAGACATATATATTACCATTCTATAGACACTAATGAATTTCTGTTAAATAGTGCTGGTCTCAGAAGCAAAGCATTGGAGGATTTTGAAATAAAATTATGAGGTATTGCAGGAACAGTAAGATGATTATCCCATAACTAATATAGCAGAAAGTAAAAGGGGGAATTTGTCCTCAACATGTATGTAAGTAAACTTCTGAAAAAAACATTCTGAGTAGAACATGTGAATCTATGTTTCTGGTGAAAAGGGGAGAGATGGAATTAAAGGTGAGGTTTCTGTCCCCCCAACACACATAGACACACCCTGACAAGTTTTGATTCCAAAATTGATGAGAAAGTATACTTGAAGATTTAGCTTTTGAATGTAACTTATAATACATTATAACTTTCTAAGTATTTTGCTGAAATAGTAGGATACCACCCATGAAACTTCATACTTTCATTTATGTGGTGTATTTCTTTAGAGTCTAATAATCTGATTCCTAACTTGTAGTGGGTGCTTTAGCCAAGACAGTTCTGCCAGCAGTTACAAGAGAACCAAAGTTGTTCCACTGTTAGTGTGAGTACAGCAAGTGATTAGTAAGAATGAATATGTGACTAATGTCATGAGTTAGCCAACCAATCAGCTAGAAAAAATACAGATAATAAGTTTAGTGTTGTTGATTCTAATAGCCAGACAGATTCACATATTTCCATCTTAATGAATATATCAGGGTACTAGTGTCCTTTTAATTATGAAAAAGATTAATTAGTAATATTTAGAAGCCCAGTGCAGGGCCACACAACTGTAGTCCCAGTTCTTGGGAAGATGAATCAAAAGGATCCCGAGACAAGGAATTCAAGAGCAGTCTGCTAAGCATACTGAAACCCCATCTCAGAGGAAAATAGAAGAAAGAAAAGAAAATTTAATTTGCTACTCTTTTGCTGTAAAAAAAACTATTTCCACGTATTTCTAGGACTTTTTAATGTTTTTAAAAGAAAAAAAATTTAACAGAATCACAACTTGAACTTCCATGTTGTGAAGAACTTAGATGCAGAACCAGGTCTTCCTTTTCTCTGTTATTCTCTGTTTGTCTAGATCCCTACCTGAAGGTATTATTGGTCATATATAGGACAGATTTTTCTCTATTTCATTCTATAAACTACTAAAAGTATGTGAATTATTTGAAAATGCTAGTTTATAAAGTAAACCACATGTTTGCATTTGGATAATCAGGCAATGTATATAATTAGAGTTGTATTGATTTAAGTATTGAGAAAAACTATATGAACACTTTGTTTTCTATAATTGATGATGTGGGGCCAGGGATTTAGCTCAGTGGCATCACACCTGCCTCGAAAGTACTTGCACTCAGTCCTGAGTTCGATCCCTGGTACCAGAAAAAAAGTATAATTGATAATGTGGCATTTTTTTTGTTTATACAGTTCTGGAATAAAGGAAGAAAAATCAAGAGGTTACTCAGATGAAGTAAACTCAGAGAACAGAATACCACAGGAGAGATGTATTTTCCAAACTTGTGTGGTAGAGAAGGAAACCCGAGATGCAGACAGTGACTTTGATACTAAGAGCAGTGAAGATGATAAAATGGGAGAAAATAAAGTGAATCGCAGAAGGGAAAAGGTCACAGAGACCTCCAGGAATTATTCCAAGCATCTCAAGAATCATACCCACTCAAGATCATCTAGTGAAGAAAGAGGGCATAGTGCCAAACACCACACCAAAAGTTCCAAGTCCAGAGGGCATGAGAAAAGGGAAGATGAGCACCAAGAGAGCCAATCCAGACACCAGGAAAACTGTTATATTGACTATGACCACAGGAAAGCAAAGGATTCTCATAAACCCAGAGAGGCCAGTTATAGAGAGTCCCACTGGAAGAGGCATGAACATGAAGATAAACCAAGGGGAGACCAGAGAGAAAGAAATGACAGAGAATGGAAAAGAGAGAAATATTCTTCAAGGGAACAAGAAAGAGATAGACAACGAAATGATCATGACCGATACAGTGAGAGAGGTGGGGAGAAGGAAGAGAAGAGCAAAGAAAAGGAAGAACACATGAAAGAAAAGAAGGAAAGATATGAAAATAATGATAAATACAGAGATAGGGGAAAACAAGAAGTAAGTGTTCAGTCTTCAGAAAGAAATCACAGAAAAGAAGACAGATCAAATTCTAGGGCAGAAGAAGAGTTTCTTGATCATGAAAGAACCAGCAAAATGAGAAATATGGAAAAGAACAAAGAAAGAGACCAAGAGAAGCCCTCTGGTTCTCAAACATCACTGGGACCAAAACACAGATTCACAGAGGAAAGACAAGAGCAGGGCAAAGAACAAGAGAGACTAACAGAGGCAGTGAGTAAGTTCGCGAAGAGGAATAATAAAGAAACTGTAATGTCAGCTAGAGACAGATACTTGGCCAGGCAAATGGCACGGGCTAATGCAAAAACCTATATTGAGAAAGAAGATGATTAATGCCTCCCCAACCAGAAGATCTGTGGAAGCCCAGGACGTAGTGACTCCTAGGACTTGTTTTGTGAATGCACTGTGAAATGTGTTAACAGTAGTTGAGGGAGAGTATTTTAAAATGATTTTTTCAAAATTTATTTTTTACTTAAGTTTAAGTCAAAAGTCAGTCCTTTAATCTGACTGTTTAACTGGAGATAGCTATATATGTATGTATGTGTATATGTAATATTTCTTTATCTGTACTGTATTCTTGGTTGTATTCAAGAACCATAAGTTTGTCTGAATCCCGGAAGGTACTTAATGAGGAAAATTGGCTCCACTGCAACCACTAAAAAGTAAGCAGCTTTCCTGATAATGTTGCTCTTGTTACAGTAGCTTTTGTTTTATAAATGTTGTATTTCAGGTAAATACATGTAAAAATTTGAAGAAGTATAAAATGTAAGTCATGTATCTTGTCTAAGTAACTTTTCAGCCCACAACAAATTTGGCTTAAATGAAAATTTAAAAATAATGATGTGCTTGTACTTTAATTCATGCTTTTATTTTAAATGAAATTTCACTTTTTATGTCACAATTCCTTTTTTTTGTTGTAGTTAGTAAAATTCATTTTAATTTGTAATTCTGAAACCTTGACAAGTTATTAAATTGGTTTTATATATATAAATTTAGACTAAGGATGAAAGGATAGAGACATTTAACCTAAATGAAATTAAATAAAGGTCAAGGTGACCTATTTTTTAATATGTTTTATGTACTTTAAAAAAGATAACGCTGCTTGTTACAAGTTCCATTTGTGTGTCCACATAAACTAGGATTTCTAAATCTTTGAGACTTAACATAGAAAATTATATACACTAAATAATTTATTAATGGGGAATAAATGAATACTATGGAGACAGTAGTTTGTTTTTTTTTTTGAGACAGTTTTCTTACATCTCATGAAGAAAAGGCTGTTTGTATCTGTCGTGATACTTTTTAGATTTAGCATTTGTAAGTCATTGTACCTTTAAAAACCAGGAAAAATAACAAGAAAGCTAATGCCCATATCTCTCAACACAGTATTGTTTACACTTCCTAATGATATAAAGTAGATCATTGACAATGACAAATTCCAAAAAGCCCCAACTTAACACAGAGCGGGGAAGCAGCATACCGTAAGTATGGAACAATAGATGAGTTAGGGTGAGATCATGGGAGACCACAAGTGACAAGCTAAAACTCTTAAACTTTGATAGTAAGTATAGTTTCTTGGTTAGAATTGTTTCATAACTGGATCCATGCACTTGGAAAATTAATTTGATCATAGTGTTCAAGATAGCCTAGGGAGATTGTGTCAAGGAGATCTGATAACCTGTCAGTTTTCCTCTGCCAGAAGTACAGAGACTTTCACAAAGCAGTTTGAATCAATAGGGAAAGCTGTAGTTTACTTTCATTAACCTACTCAGTTTGATGACATATCAGTGAGAAACTAAAAAATTAAAGAGTTTTTTTCCTGTCTCCTTCCCCAGATATACTGATGTTGGTTTTGCCTCAGCAACCTGACTCTTCCTTTCCTAAAAGCAGCATCTTGGTTTTCCTTATTAGTCCAAGGGTTCAAATGGGGCAGAATAGGTGATTCAAGTCAGGCCTCCCCTGGAACTGTCAGAACGTACAGTTATTTTCCACTTGTGGCAGAATGCCTGGCTGGCTGCCTGACAGAATAAAGTTTGCACACACAGTAATGAGAGATGAATTTCCACAGAGAAAACACACCCATTTCAAAAAGAGCTGTTACTCACACCACAAAGGAAGGTCTCAACCCCTTCCCTTGTCTTTGACTTTTAAACCATAGATTAATTTTGCTTGTTTTCTAGGCCCTCTAGAAAATTTCTCCATTCTTTTGTTGATGGACATTGCATTGCTTGAGCCTATGGCTTCTAGGAACATTCTTGTACTTGGCTTCTAGTAAATACATATGTGTTATTTGAGCAATTCCCAGGAATGAAATTGCTGATTAAGAGCTGGGCATGGGGGCCGGGGATTAGCTCAGTGGTTCCGCCGCCTGCCTCACAGGCGGAAGGACCTAAGTTCCATCCCCAGTACCAAAAAAATAAGAGCTGGATATGGTGGCACACGCCTGTAATCCAACACTCGGGAGGATGAGGCAGGAGGAGTGCCAAGAGTTCGAGGCCAGCCTGGGCTACATAGTGAGTTCAAGACCAGGATGAACTGCATATTAAGACCCTGCCTCAAAAAAAAGATTGCTGGTTAAGTATGCAGATATTAAGCTTTAGTAGCTAACTAATAGTTACACTAAAACATACCCCATCAATGTAGGAGAGTTCCAATTGGTCCATGTTTTGCATTTGTTTGGTTATTCATCTTTTGTCTTTCTGGTGGGTGTGATGGTATAGCTTTCGTTTTGTGGTTCCTTGATGGCTGTCTTACACATTCTACTCCTGGGGGTTGCAGGGGTGGTCCGTGGTCAGTCTGCCTTTTTCTTAATGACCTATATAGTTTCTTTATGTATTCCTCCCTGTGGCTTGCCTTTTTGCTCCCTTAATGATGACTTTTAATGAACAGAAACCTCTAATATTTATAGAGAAACAAAATTTATGATTCAGTTGATAAATTTATGGTTCCTCTAGATACATTTCAAGTGCTCAGTCACATAGCTCCTATCCCATACTGGATTTATAGGACATTTCTATTATTGGAGAAAGTTTAATGGACATCACTCATACTTCTTACATTTAGGTCTACAATGCACCTGGAATTAACTTCATGTGATGTAAGAGGGATTAAGATTTGTCTTTCTACAGGTAGTGCACACACTAGAAGGCTGAGGCAAGAAGATCACAAATTCAAGCCCACCCTGGGCAATTTAATGCCTTAGCAAGATCCTGTCTCTTGAAATTATAAGTAGGTTTTATATGTCACTATATGTACAATATGTCTCAGTAATAAACATTTTTGTGATCTTAAAACTGGTATATGAGGGCCAGGGATTTAGCTCAATGGCACCACACCTACCTCACAAGTGCAAGGTCCTGAGTTCCAGCCCTAGTACCAAAAAAAACTGTTATATGAATCTGAGGAACTGTTAGTCATCCTGGCTAATCATAGTCATTTCTACAGAAACCTAGAGAAACCTGTAGGCCTGGTAATGAGGTGAATGGCTTATTCACAGAATATCAGAACTTTGTTAATGTATTATTTGGACTACTATAGGTGGTATAATTTGTGCTATTTTAAACAGGTCTAAGAAAATGTACTGAAAATTTGAATTGGTAAACAGCTGTTCCTCTGACCAATTTTTAGTAAGATAGGAATGACTCAGAATACCTTAATTTTTCTCCCTCGTGTTTTTGTTTACCCTTACATCTGTCATATCAAATATAGTAAAACCTTGATTTTCAAGCATAATTCATTCCAGAAACATGCTTGTATTCCAAAGCACTTACATATCAAAGCAAATTTTCCCAAAAGAAACAATGGAAATTCAGATGATTCCACAAAATATTCATATAAAAATGATTACAATGCAGTAATAATACAAAATAATAAAATATAAAGAAAAACTTGCACTTTGAAAACCGTGGCGGCTGTGAGGGAGACAGAAGAGGGTTATTGTATAGGACAACTTTCACTATCACTAATGGAATCACTGCTATCTGTTGGCTCAATGGAATCTTTTTCTTTTCGTGCAACTTTAATGAGGAACCTATCTAATGATACTTTCTTTTCCTTCCTTCTGAGGATTTTGTGGAAATGTGACATTGCAGTGTCATTAAAGCAGATTCATTGCTTGCAATGCTACCGCCTTATTTGGGTGGTGGTTTTCTACAAAATTTTGCACTGTTTCCCACCCTAATCTCTGAAGTGAAAGATTCTTCCACCTTTTTGTCCTCTCCTGCAGATGAGATCTCCATAACCTCTTGCTGTTGGGAAATGATTACCCACAGTCGCGCAGAGAGAGAACCATTGGCTCAGTTGTGATCGTGTGATATTCAGCATCATGTACTACTCATTGCAAAGCATTCCTCATTTATCAAGTTAAAATGTATTAGAAATATTTGCTCATCTTGTGGAACACTCCGAACAAATTGCAATCCAAGGTTTTACTGTGTATAGTACTGTTTCATGCTGTCTTCTCATGTACTGGTTGCTTTACTGGGAATGCCATGTTTTTTTGCCTCTTTATTTTAAAAAAAGAGCTGAAGTATTGCCTCCAGAAAGCCTCTCAATACCTCTTTTGGTTTCAGCAACACAGCCCATGTTTCCTTTGCATTCTGTGCTTTGTACTCAGCATTATAATGATAGTGTGTCAGTTATTTGAGGACAAAGATCCCATATTATTTAGCTTTGTGTGCCCAGTACCTACTGTAATGTTGGCATGAATGAAAGTTTAGAAAAATTTTTAACTTCACTTAACTACATTTATCATAGTAGCCCTCAAGTATTTCTTAAAAATCAAAGTTTTTAGGCTGGAATCACTTTGTAAATTAATGAAAACTCTGCCATGGTTTGAATATGGTTTGTCTCCAAAATTCATAAAATTTAATCCCAATTATGAGATAATGAAATGGGACCTTTAGGTAACATAATTAGGAGGTAACATGATTAGGCTTCTGCCCCTGTGATTAATAGGTTATCTTAACAATGGGTCTGTCCTAAACAATTTGGTTAGGTTTCTTGCAAACTCCCTGTCTTTCATCAGGCGATGCCCTGTGCTGCCAGCAAGAAAGGTGATCACCAGATGCAGCCCCTTGACCTTGCACCAGAACAGTCAAAATAAATGTTTATCACTTAACCCAACTGTGGTATTGTGTTATTAGCAAGAGGAATCTCAAGGCAATTTTCAGTTTAAAATGTTCATGAGGCACTATGATATATTTAGGAGCTGAGACTTGGAAATCTTAGGTCCAATGCTTAGTTATCTGCATAACCTTGGGCAAAATAATTTCTTTGAGCTTTAGTTTCCTGATCTGTAAAATGGAGATAATCAAAGTATCTCCCTCATAAGACCGTTGTGAGTATTGCTTGAAACTATGTAATGCTGTGCCTGACACTCCCCATTAGTATTTATCATCATGGTTATCTTATCATGACTACCCATAAGGAAATAGAGCAGTAATGTAGAATGAGTTACCTGAGGATATGTAGCTTGATATTGGCTGAGAAAGGACTTAAACCTTGTCTTCTCAGTCCTATTTGGTTTTTCTTTCCATATTTTAGTTTTAGCAAAATGTCTGACATTAGCAGTACTTACAATGGAGGGAAGGTACATAATTGACATGAAATTTGATGTATTTTCACATGTTCAGTAAATAGAAAGCTATGTCCCAGCTGTACTACATTCTTACTGTGTTGAGAAGACATCTTAGGTCTAAAGGGTGTACCTATGGGAGAGAACTTGCTCAGCAAACAAGCATGAGGCTCAGTTTGAACACAAGTGCAAGCTCCTGCACACACATGCAAAAGATGTCTTAGTCCTTTTGTGCTGCTGTAATAAATTTATAAATAACAGAAGTTTGTTTTAACAGTTCCAGAGGCTTAAGTCCCAGATCAGGGCACTGGCACAGTCCAGTATCTTGTGAGGGACCTGTTCCACTGATAGTGTCTTCCTCAGATAACAGAAAGAAAGGACCTAAGCTGGTTTATGCCCTCAGAAAAAGGCAGAGGCCTCATACCTGAATCACTTCCCAAAAGGCCTCATGTCTTTTTTTTTTTTTAATGGTACTAGGGATTGAACCAAGGACCTTGTAATGAGCTATTTCCCCAGCCATTTATTATTTTTTTTGAGACAGTCTCAATAGGTTGCCCATGTTGGCCTCAACCCTGAGATCCTCCTGCCTCAGTCTCCCAAATAGCTGAGATTACAGGATTAAGCTTCAATATGAATTTTGGAGGGTACATTCAAACCATAATAAAACCCAAAGCCTTAAAGAAGAATTAAAGTGATAGCCAAAAAGTTGGAGGTTTTGGAGAAAGTTTAGAAATACATACCTCATTACTGGAGTTTTTACCTTACGAGATGTTTTGTTCAAACTCTGTCCATGCTACCATATTGCTAATCCCCTTCCTAGCATTGGGCTTGGAATGTAGCTCAGTGATAGAGAGTGCTTGCTTAACATTCATGAAGCCCTGTGACAAATCCCTAGCACCACCAAAACAAAAACAAGGCAAAATAACAACAAACTGGAATTGTTGGTAGAACAGCTTGTCTTGGATTTTATGATGTGTTGCTAAGAAATATCACCTAGCATTCCAATTGATACATATTGTGAATCATTTCCAACAAAAGAACCCTTCTGTTACAAAGGTGAAACTTTTAAAAATATATCTAATATAGGGCTGGGGATTTATCTCAGTGGTTCTGCTGCCTGCCTCGCAAGCACAAGGTCCTGAGTTCGATCCCCAGAACCAAAAAAAAAAAAATATATATATATATATATATATATATATAAAGTATAAAAACAATCCTGAACTGATTATATGAAACAAAAGGATATTTAAGATTCTATCCTAAAATATCTTTTCCACGTGCTATCTATTAAACCAATTGAGGTGTATTATTTCATTCTAGCAGATGAAATACAATTTATGTTTACCTTTCTTTAGAAATTTCTAGATCGCAGGAAGAATAGACAACTTTGTTTGATTACCAGGTTTTTCTCTGCCTCTAAAGGAGTCATCTGAGCTTTAAACCTTATTCTATCATTTAAATTTAAAGACAAAAGGGTGATACTACAGAGAGTAGCAAAAAAAGAGCTTTGAAATATCCTTTCCATGGAATTATACATGACAAATTTCATTAAATATCATTAATTCATCTCTTTTTTTAAATAAAATTCAGAAACCAAAGTGTTTCCAGTGGACAAGAACTATGCTTTTCTAGTGCGGTAATGTTCCCTGTCTTGACCATTTTTGTTTTTATTTTTCTTATTTGAATTTATGAATTGCATTCCTTAACATGCTTCTCAAGAAAGCACTTTCTAAGTTCGCTTTTCTGGTTGAGAGCCCTTTCTGTAACTCTTGTGTTTTAAAATATGATATGTAAATTCCATGGTGACTTATACAACTTTTTCCCACTTAGCATAGGACTCTTTTATTACTTACAGGGATAACAGGCTATGGCATACAGTGATGGCAAACCTTTTAGAGCTTTCAGTGATAACAAGCAGCCACTGTGGAGCGCATGCCATAAGTTTGCCATCACTGGATAGCCTCTCTGAGAAATCCCCTGCTTCTTTTCCCTACCTCTCCCTGACAAAAAAAGAAAAACGAAAAATGCCCTACTGTGTTGATGAACCAACCATCCTACGTAATTCTGATATCTTGAGCATCAGAGGTGGACTTAGGAGTAGAGAGACATGCTAAGAAACAAACTAGGTTTGGGTTGTACCATTGTCTAAGATACATGTAAGAATAGCAGTTAGGCCTTTGCATTCCATAATGATAAGGTTTGATAGTGAACTCCAAGCCAATTGTATCATTGATAAAACATATCAGGTTAGTCTTTCCTACTTAGAAGAAATAATACTATTCTAATTCCAGGAGAATGGTCTCCCTTTTAGGGGATGGGAGTTAAGAGAACATTCATGCTTACACTTGGGGTTTTGGGGGGGGGTTTGCTTAAACTTAAATTTTGAGATTGGTAGCACCAAATCAACAAGCTTAGTCAAAATAAGATGCCCTGAAGTGATTCATCTCACAGAATAACTTTTTGCCTTATTTTGTGATTCCATTATTTGATTTTGGAGCTATTATATTGAGTTTGGATTTGTCATGGTCTTTGCATACATCTCCAAATGGGCAACCAGGGGAGTGAATTTAGATTACAACTGTATGCATTCTAGCCAAATTCACAGTTGGGAATGAATTCCTTGGATTTCATTGCATACCAACAGAGGACACAACTTCTAATAATTGAATTATCCATGACTTTGACTTCATTTTTTATCTTCCCTATATCTTTTTTGGAGATTGAACCTAGGGCCTTGCATATACTAAGCATATACTTTACCACTGAACTACATCTCCTGCACCCCCTTTCTTGGCCATTTATTAGTAATAGAAGCATAAGAAAAAATGAAGTCCTTATATTATTTTACAGTTAAATTCCATTTTTAGTTTTTACTTTTAAGTAAATGTTACATTAGATGTAAAAGTCTTCAAAAGCTGATTTAAATCTACCTCCTCATATCTTTCTTTAAAAAATCTATAGTGATGGACTGGGGATGTGGCTCTGGTGCTGTGCCCACCTGGAAAGTGCAAGGTCCTGAGTTCAATCCCCAGTACCCCCCCAAAAAAAATCTATAGTGGTATTGATATATAGGGGTCAAAAAAATGCAAACTATGAAGGACAAATAGATTTTTTTTTCGGTTTCATGAAGGTTGAAACCTTAACACATGACTTGGCAAAACTCTATTTGAGGGCCGGCGATTTAGCTCAGTGGTTCTGCTGCCTGCCTCACAAGCGCAAGGACCTGAGTTAGATCCCCGGTACTAAACAAAAAACTCTATTTGAAAAACTGTTTATAAAAAAGTATAATCTCACCAGAGTGTGGTGGCACATGCCTGTAATCCCAGCACTCTGGGAGGCTGAAGCAGGAGGATCGAAAGTTTAAGCCCAACCCTGGGCTCAATGATTTGGTGAGACTATCTCAATTGATGAATCAATCAACCAACCAATAAAAATGGGGATATAGCTCAGTGCAAAGGCTCTATGTTCAATCCCCAGTTTAAAAAAAAAAAAATACAAACTTGAGAGAATGCCTAAATATGTGTGGCTAGAGTGGAGAGAATCCATATTCAAAAAAAATCTTTTAAAATCAGGTTCTTAAAATCTGCAAAGCTATTTACCACTGAATACACTACCACTTACATATCTTCTCTCTTGGCACATATTAGAAAGCAAAGAAAATAGAAATAAAGTAGCAAGAAGGAATGAAAGAGTGAAGATAATGCAAGTATGTCAGTAAAGGGACATTAAATCCCCTTCTCCTTTTCTTCTAACAATTTGGGAAACTTCTCACCAGCTAACATCCAAAAACATCCCCAAAGATTAGAAAGAACAGGAGGCAGGGAGAATATAGGAAAATGGCCAGGGCAGATTGTTGGGAGAAGGAAGCCAAGCGAGAAACATCTATAACTGGATAAATCCAGGCCTTGGCTACATGGATCTGCTTTTTATAAAGTTGTTAATATTAAATTTGAATTATATGGAGAACTGAAGTTATATCAGGTCAGCTAATTGAGTCCTTTTTTCATTGACAAGAATTTAATCCCTTTAAGATTTTGATAAGGAAATCTCACACCACAGAGTAAAATTTACTTATATTCCTATGCATCTGAGAATCACAAGCCAAAGGCCAAATTTACTTGTCTGTATTATGGGCTTTACATGAAATGAAAGGTCATTCACATAACTAACTATTCCCCAGTCAGTCTTACTTAGACTCGATCTTGAGGATTATCTGGATAATGTATAATCATGGCTACCAGGAAGTGCCAAAGTGAGGTGGGGGAGACAATTTAAGTCTAACCAGAATCTCCAGTTGCTCTTGGATTGAGGATACCCTTGTGGGTTTAAGTCAATACCACATTTATGCACCCTAAAGCTAAGTGAGATTTGGGTTTACCCTCTCTGCACAAAGTAACCTACATAGTCAAACTCAGTCTTTTAAGTAAACAGAGCTCAGTCCAGTTGGCCACATGAACATTGAAGGTGCACATGTCAAAATCCATCTTCAAAGCACTTCACAGGAAACCCATAGTGACTAACAAAATAGGCCAGACTTGCTTGTGGAATGTTGTCCTGAACATTTAGCAGAGAGAGAGGAAAACAGCAATGAAGTACGGCAGATAACAAAGCTGGCCCATGAGGAAGGTATGTGAGCAAAAGCAGTGTCACTGGAAAAGAAGGTACCGGAGCATGTTATAGTAATTGCACCTTTTCAAATAATAACATATATGCATATTTGAATAGATAGGCTTTGTTAATGTAAGAAAGATTAAAGGAAATACATATAGTTTGTAATGGGCCCAAAGTATTGGAGTAGAAATGAGTACATACATAACAATATAAACATACAACAATAGAAACAGACACAAATGCTCACATGTACACATTATTTTTCAGTTTAGCTTCTTACATCTTCCTTTCCTGACCCACAGTAGCACATGGGTTGAGGGTTCTAGTAGATTCAAGCTATAGATTTCTATGCTATTCAGAAAATATATGGCTAGCAAGACAACATCCCATTTTCTTCTAATGTTTAATGCATTCATGAACAGTGAAGCCTTTAGAGGCAAACAGATGTCAGATAACAACAATCATACCAAAAAAAGACACAGGAAACATTCACAGACTTGATTCTAAACCTAATCCTAATCAATGATAGGGTGGTTTTCATCACCTCCATACACACCCTCACATGTTCAAAACAGACCAGTTCAGTTACATCACAGTCTAATGTAGTAATAATGTCCCGGAGATTTAAGGGAAAGAAGTGACTGAAGGCTGTAAGTCTGGGCACCATAGTCTTTTGGGACTGTGTCTCCATGAAGAAGATCCTTTCATCATCAGGCTTGGCTGGCAACTCATTCGCTTAGAGGATAGAGGTGAGGTGGGATTCGTCAGAGCTGGAGGAGGGCCTGGGAAGCCATTTCTCACTGGTATGTGTTACACAGCATTCAAGCGGATGTCCCCACAAGGAATTTCTGTTGGTGTTTCTGGAGTGATACTTTTAATAATGCGCTTTTGGGAAGAAAATAAAATAAGTCTTGTAATTCAACAAAATTGCAAAAATATTTCAACATTAATATTACAAAAAAGCTTAAATAATATTTTAATGACAGTAGTTTTCTTTAGGAAAGGAATTCCCAATTTTTCTCAAATATAGATAAAATAGTACAGTCAGAACTGTAAGCATCTATAAACTAGTTAAGAGCATTATTTTAACACTAATTTGAAAAAAAAAAAAAAAAGCCTTTAATAGAGCCTCTGCTGGCCCATAAAATGCTTGCTTTTTTTTTTTTTGGTACCAGGGATGGAACTCGGGTTCTTGCTCTTGTGCAGCAGTCGGCGAAACCACTGAGCTAAATCCCCGGTCCCATAAAATGCTTTTGAGGACTTATGAAAGGCACCCTTGGGCCCGGGATTTAGCTCAGTGGTTTAGCTGCGTGCTGCGCAAGAGCAAGGACCTGAGTTCAATCCCCGGTACAAAAAAACAAAAAAAACAAAGGCACCCTTTTCTCTAGACAAGAGGCAGCTTCTCATGACCACACAGGGCTTGGGGAGCAGAGTGAATGCTAGATTTTGGTCTACCTGCCCCTAAGGCAGATTCCTTGTACACAGCATGCATACCTCAGCCATAGTGCCCAGCGCATGGCCATGGCAATAGCTAGGATCTTACTGATTCAATGAATCCACCTGTAAGGCAGTACTGGTTCATTAATATGAGTGCAAATTATCACATCACAAAGTTAAAAAGATGTGACCCAAGGGGCCGGGGATTTAGCTCAGTGGTTCCAGCGCCTGCCTTGCAAGCGCAAGGTCCCAAGTTTGATCCCCGGTACCAAATGAAAAAAAAAAGAAAGAAAGACTGAGCCGGGGATTTAGATCAGTGATACTGCCTCCTGCCTTGCAAGCACAAGGTCCTGAGTTCGATCCCCGGTACCAAAAAAGAAAGAAAAAGATGTGACCCATCTAAATCATCACTTTTAAGGAAAACTCACATAGGTTGAGTACTCATCAGAGGGAAGAGGCTGAGAATTTCTACTATAGAAACAGCAGAAGTGCATAGAAGACAGATCTAAAATATGCTTCAGCTTAGGAATGAAATATACAACCTGCCTTGTAAAACTAAGCATCAGAATGACATGAAGCAGCTCAGGGATATGGAAAAGAAAAAACCAGCACCATAGTAAAGGCTTAGAAAAATCTTTATTAAGTTGCTTAGTAAAATCTTTGATGGCCAAAAGTCTGTATGTTGGTAAGCAGGCAAAATTATATCAGAAACATCTTTTGATTTATTTATTGATCTTTAGGCGAAGCTTTGCTACTTTTTTTAAAAATTCAGAATTGAAAAGGTATGTAGCAGTCTTCAAGTTTTTCTATTCTCTGATTCTGAGAGTTTGTTGTTCTTTTAAGACACAGGACCTATGGAATTCAGAGTTCCATTTCCATGGTTAATGAAATTCATAAAATCATACATTTTGTGTTCCTCATGACCTTAGTATCTGAGTACTAAACTATAGCACTAGAAATCCACTTTAAAAATAGTTGTTGCAGTATTCATCCACTGCCAGGGCCTATCAAGTCACTGAAAGTAGAATTTCAGAAACCATCCATCCCCATGTATGATTATATAAACTACAACTGATTAAACAGAATTATGTCTTGCTAGTTAGGAACTAGACACAGATCACTGTAACCAGTCTTAAGTAGAGCTATAGTGTGCATAGGGAGAAGAGTTGCCAAGGTGTGTGGTAGAGGCAAGGCTAGCAACAAACAGCATTATAAAGAAAGATGCTAGTTGGGTGTGGTGGTACATGCCTATAATCCCAGCCATAGAAAGCTGAGCAGGAAGGATCAAGCACAGCCTGGGCAATTTAGCAAGATCCTGTCTCAAGAAACACCTCAACGAAAGCACTTAGCTCAGCATGAAGGCCCCGGGTTTAATCCCCAATACAAAAAAGAAGGAGGAGGAGAAGGAGAAGAAGTAGAAAAAAAGAAAAATGCTGGCTTCTTGTGCCCTAAGCCCTACCCATACATTCTGCTGCTCTACGGGCTGCTGACCCCCCAAATACCAGGCCCACTTTTGGTTTCCAGATTTTGGCAGCATTCTAGTTGCCAGTCTACTATTGCTCTCAAAATTTTCCAGAGCCTTTCCTTCTACAAGATGGTAGGTAACCAGCTAATCTAAGAAGTCGTCTGCTGCTGACATCTTACCTCTACTGCCAACAGATTTGAGCTCTGTTGCTCATGGCATTCCTTTGTGACCAAATGTGGGAATTTGAATTTGAAAGAAAGATGACTAGGATTTGAGGTACAGTCTGTGACTAAGGAATACAGACATTATTAACCCACCCCTGACTCTGGCCTTTGGGTTTGAAGCAACAGAGCTCATGGATCATCTCAACTGCTGAAAGGAGAACCTGAAGGAGTGAATTCAGCGACTCTGGTTCCGAGAGTCTGTTATAAGCAACACCAGGATCCTGTGCTCTTTGGGAGGATGAAGTCATGATAGAACTAGTTTGGGCAAAGGGAATTAGTAACTGCAGAATTGTGTTCACCTTTAATTCAGTTTTCATGTCTGGAAAAAGAAATGAACCCAGTTGCTCTCAGAAAGAGCTAATATTTTTGGGTTTTGTTGGTGCTGGGGATTAAACCCAGGGTTTAAAGCATGCTAGGCAAGTGCTCTACTGTGGAGCTACCCGTCAGCCTGAAAAAGTCGGTGTTTAATTGCTTCATGTGCTCTTGCTTCTTGCTTCTCATGAAATGTCTGAGAAATTTTAATGTGATGGTCTCATGTCTGAGTTTTGCTTGTTAGAGCCCATAGACTATCCCACCTCAGTTCTCAGGCCATCGTAGGTTAGAGTTCCATCTAACTTTCCCCAGATATCACCCTTCACCTTTGAGTTTGTACCCTGCAAAAGCACTCAACTATGGACTGAAGACCTCTTCAGGCTTCTCTGGCATAGTACCCTTTTACTGTGGCAAGAAACACAACCAAACATGTAACAAGTGAAGCTCTTCTGTTCTGTTAATGTACAGTATAATGCTGCTGATAATCTAATGGCTGAACGACTCACTCCGGCAGCCTGGGGTGGAAAATGGCTACTATTCTTTCCCTAAAGAATAATTTAAGCACTAATTTCTACATTAGCAAACTGTCAACCCCAAGGACAAAAGGGATGTTGCACCTAAAAGTGAAAAGAACACTGTACCAGGAGTCCAAATACCTGGATTCAGAGAATTCCTATACTGTATCCTCAGACAAGTCAATGAAACAAGGACATTTGGAGCAGGATTATTCCCAGCCTCAGTGTCTTTGCCTGCTAATAATACCTACCCATCTACCTCACAAGATATTTTGATAACAGATGAGATCAGCTGCACACAGATGCTTTGGAAAGCATGGGCTCTTGTACAAACTGTAAGGTACTATTATTAAAAAGTTTATAGCACATTATTCACTACTGAAATGAATCTTCTGTCATGGCAAAAAAGTATTTACTACAATGGCTTGAGCTAAAATTATGATATTGTTGGATAGCTAATAATTTTTTTAAGTTGCATTATCTTTTTAAATAATTTTTTATTTATTAGTACATGTTTGTAATTCAGGCAGTTTACAATCATCTTGGGGAGTGGTTAGATGTACATATTATGGCATTTTTCTAGCTAATAATTTTTTTCTAGCTAATAATTTTTTGAACTAGAAGTATGATATGTTGAACTGTCCATATTTTATGATTATTTTAAAAATAGCACTTGTCACATAATTATTAGAAAAATCACCATGGGCATTTTTACCATACTTTCCACTTAAAATCTACATATGGCTTCAGACTTCATAGGTCTGATATTCAAGCCCAACAGTAAGCAGGAAGCAAAGTAGTTGTCTGATAGGTTTAGAAAGCTAAACATACCCCAAACTGTGGGCTATGTATACATCTGTGAGCTATGTAAATGCTGTGGTACACCAAAAGATCAGCTCACTGTGTGTGGTGGTATATACCTGTAATCCCAGCACTCTGGGAGGCTGAGGCAGGAGGATAGGGCAAGTTTGAGCCCTACCTGGCCAACTTCGCAACTTAGTGAGATCCTGTCTCAAAACAAAAATCAACTCATTCGTTTGCCCTTATATTTGGAACTTTGGAAGATGCTTTATAACAACAGTGTAAGCCATTAGAGAGCGAGCTATACAATGGTTTAGGTATATAAATACATAAGGTTAAAAGCCTTCTGGTGAGTTTCATGTAGGCTTATCTCTTTTGAATAGCACGTAAAAGAGAAGTCTTTTCTTCCAAAAAATACACACACTTACACTCTAGCACATACCTCCTTCAGTGTCCCTGGAGTGATGATCAGCCGATAAGTTATATATGTGGGGATACAGATAATAGAGGAAATCCCTATGCAGAAACCCAGGATGACACTCCAATGGGGATAACTATACTGGAAAAGTCGTAGCTCGGGCGGGGTCATCAGAAAACTGCAGATGATGAACTGTAACAAAAATTCCAAGAAACATTAAAAATCTTAACAGTATGCAGATACTCTGATAACACATACACCAAATGCTAAAGCTCAAAAATAACAGGGATACATCCTAGATTTAACTCTGATTTAATTTGCAAAAATAATACAGCCAGGTGCTTTTCTTGGTTTTCTTTGCTATCACCCATCTCAGGCCTACAGTGCATGCCAATCCTATAAAGATGGTATAGTATCCCTAGTTACCCATAAAGCCAGGGAAGTTACAGTGCCCCACTAGGAAACCCTCTGCCAAGGAGAAGAGATTGGCACCATCAGGAATGGACAGCAGACAATGAACTGGGTGGCTATTGCACTGCCCCTGCCAGTCCTACCACTTATATATTTCTCTCTGCCTTGTTTTCACTTCCCTGCATTTCCTGGCTATGGTAGTTTTTTCTCAGATGAAAGATGCCTTATTTCTGGAAGCAATAATGAGGTTCTCAAGACCTGAGGAGAACTCAAGTTCCTGGGGATGCTTTTTACCCTCTTTGCTTTCTGCATCAAGCTGCATTAGCTGGAGATTCAATAAGTGTGGTTCTGCCACAAGACATCTAAGTAATGAATGACTGCTGCCCAGGTCCTCATAATGAATTACAGAAGAAAAAAAAGCAGCTTAATGTATTTTTCACGTGAAAATTTTGACCAAGAATAATTCCACAATGTGCTCTTAACACCCAGTTTATTAGTTTCTTATTTCAGTTTGGTTTCTAGAGAGCACAAATATCAGTTTTTGTCTAGTAACCACTGTGTCAAAATAATTATAGCTCTTGATATAATTTAATTTTATTATTTCATAGTCATAAAGAAGACAGTAATGTAAATTATTTGTGTGGTTAAACATCTATTTATATCTTTTTTTCTTTGTCTGCAGGTAATAAAATGGGAAATTGTTAAATACACATCCATCTTCTGAACAGTGTTATCCTAAGTCCACAAGGAGGTCTTCAAAACAGAAGTCAGGTAAATTGCAAATTTTTCTTAACTTATTCTTCTCATCCTAGACCAATTACTAAGGAAGGAAATTTGGCAATGGGAAAAGAGCGGGTCTGGCTAGGAGCCATTGCTGCTAGAACTCATATCATCTTGATGTCAAGTATGTGAAATCCAACTCAGTCAGAGAGGGCTCAAACTCTTACTTCAGAAACTCTCTCATGGTATGGTAGCTCATGCCTGTAATCCCAGATACTTGGGAGGTTGAAGCAGGACGATTGCAAACTTGAGGCCAGACTGGGCAACTTAGCAAGACCCTGTCTCAGAGTTTTCCAAAAAAGAAGAGCTAGGGAGGGATGTAGCTCCATGGTAGAACACTTATCTAGCATGTGTAAGGCCCTAGGTTTAATCCCCAGCACTAACAACAAAAGAAAGGAAGAGAGAAAGAAAGAAAGAAAGAAAGAGAGAGAGAGAGAGAGAGAGAGAGAGAGAGAGAGAGAGAGAGAGAGAGAAAAGAAGGATAGAAGGGAAAGAGAGAGAAAGAAGAAAGAAGAAAGAAAGAAAGAAAACAAAATGAAGAGAAAGAGGAAAAGAAAAAAGAAACCTTTTCATGCAGCCCAGCCTCTCCTTGCTTATACACAATCACAATATTTTCTTTTTTTTGTAACTTGGCTTCAGTGAAAAAAAGTATTTTTAGTAAGTTACTTGTTGTTTACCTAAAGTAGCCTTAAAAAGCATAGAGCAGGGATCTGTTAAGTAAACGTAGAAGTAAAAGACAGATTTGCCTCCTCTTAATTAGGCAGTAGAGCACTTGCCTTTAGAGGAGTGTAAAGCAAACATCATGGGAATTATGAGTAACATGCCTGCATCCAAGTCTGTATGTGAGTTTTGCTCAGCGAAGGAACTCATTGACCATGCACTGCCAGAAATGAAAGAACCAAAAGGTTCAGACCTAGGACAGGGGTAAGGTATGTGAAGCACTCACTTAAGGCACAGCATTTAAGGGGAAGCCAGAAGATAAATAATATTTTAGTGCAATTTGTAACAGACAGGATTTGATGGAGCCAGATTAAGGTAAAGCAAGTGAAGTGAGTCACACAGCTACAGGGTCAGGTCCTGTGTTATTTAAAATATTGCTCATCATGTATCCCTTTGCATTTTTTTAAAATATTGCATTAAAATCTTGAGTACTCTCTTCACTTGCTTTACCCAGGTCTGGGCTCTGGACACCATTTCCTCGCTGGGTAGGGAATGCAAAAGTAAATAAATAAACATGTTTCTGGCCTCAAGGAACTAATCCAATGTCTCTTCTTCCTTTAAAAAAACAAATGAAAGGATTTAAGTAGATTATCAAGAAGCACTGGTATTAATATAAATTAATAACCCATTTATGTGAGGACTGCTTCTGGTAATGGTGGGCCAGGTGATTCAGACCAAGCCTTTCACTGAAAACAACAGAAACTTCTGCATTGAGAATTTATATTTTTATAAAATAAATATATTTTATATAATATGTAAATATATTTTTAATGTTACTTAAAAGCATCAGTAAGCTGAAAAGGTCATAAGGATCTACTAAGCCAAGATCTATGGGAACACTGGAACCCAGCACTTACACAAGAGCCACTGTGCCCTAGGGAATATTTGTTGCTTGGGGTAAATATTGGCTTTGGTTTTTGAAACCTCTGGAGTCCAGGGGAATACAAGTCAGGCTTTTAGGGTACAGAGAAACATATGCAGTGTCTCAGAGGCAAAATGAGAATGGGGGCTATTTTATATAAATTAATAGTAAGACATGCAGGTACAAAAAATAAAAGGCTGCCCAAAGATAGAATACAAAGGGGCCATTTTTTTTTCAGTACCAGGGATCAAACTCAGTATCTTGCGCTTGCCAGGCAGGCCTGGCACCACTGAGCTACATCCCCGGCCCTCAAAAGGGCTATTTTTAAAGGGAGGAAAGGACAGCTGTATGCCAGAGAGGTCCTAAGACAAAATGGAATAGGCTGAATACTCTCAGTAAGTTGGAGATGGACTGAAGGAACAGTCTAACATTATTTCTGGCTCTAAAAATTCAACAGCCCACCAAATAAAGTTAGATATGGGGAAGAACTAAAGAATAATCCCTGATGACGCACACAGAGGGGGTTTACCCCAGAATACCTCAAGTGCACACTTGGGAGGTCAGCAAGACATTATCCATCTTTGGGAAAATGCCTCTCTCGAGGTGGACAATTCTCCAGAAGGAATCTGGAGGCATATAAGCAAGGATAAAGTGAATATTGAACTTCTCTTGCTAAATGGACAATCCTTGAAAGTCACCTTCCTTAACCAGATCCTTTGGCAATAAATGGATTTTACTTTTGACTTGGACCTATGCTTGAGGATCTTTGTAAGAGTTTAAGAAGATGCAAGAAATTTTAAATACATGATCCCCGGCACCAAAAAAAAAAACCAAAAAAAAAAAAAAAGAAATTTTAAATACAAAATCACTTGGATCTCTCTCAGGGACTTCCTGAACAGCACAGTAAATTCTTTGCTGGTCTTAAATAGTTCTCACTTGTTATGTGACTTTAATATTATTAAGCCTCAATTTCCTTAAATGTAAAATGTGAGCACCAGCACAATACCTACTTCATAGAATGACTGTGAAGATTAAAAGAGCTATGGGTGTTAAGTTTAGTGCAAAATCTGGCCTGCCTGACCCTTAGTGCTCATAAATGTAATTTAACATTGTCATTCACCAGGGGAGTGACATACTAATTAATTGAAGTCCAGACTACTCTACATGTGAGATGTCAGAAGAGGGGTGAGGCATGGCGGGCACAATGACAGGGAGGGCACAAGTGTTTTTGTGCATGTTTTTGTCCAACACAAGTGCTGTCCGTGTTTTTGTGTCTTGGTATGGTTTTGACTACACAGGAGTGTTCAGTTCATAAAATTTCCTTGGATAAACATATATGATTGGCATACTTTTCTGTGTATATATATTACACTTCAATAAAATTTATCTTGTATAAGTGTCTGGGGGTGAGTCTTTCCCCAGGGCAAGAAAAAGAAGGGAAATGACAACTCACCAGGAGAAACAGAGGGCTGATGGCTACCCAGCATATCCTCCAAAACCATCCAGGGCTGAAGCCAAGCATCTCCTTCACATCACTGCAGAACTGAGTGATACCTAAAATTACCCAAAAGAGAAAGAGATTGACTGAGAGGACATGGATTTTCCTTCCTGACTCAGTCACCAGAGTCAGCCTCTTGTCACCAGAATGACAAGAAGAAGCCAGAATTCCTATACTGAACAAGTGTAGCAGCTCTGGCATTTCTCTATCAAGGAGCTCAGGGACACCAATCTGGTCTGAAGTGAGACCAGGGGATTTGTCATGAAACTTCATTTTTGTTTTGTTTTGTTTTGTTTTTTGGTACCGGGGATCAAACTCAGGACCTTGCGTTTGCAAGGCAGGCGCGGTGCCACTGAGCTAAATCCCTGGCCCTGAAACTTCATTTTTATTAGTAAGCAAAGCTGTTTCTACATACAGCAGGAGGCTGGTGAACACTTGACCTTGGTGCCCACACTGCCTTTCTGTTTAGGCATGGTCAACCCACCCAACCTTGACTACACTGGAAACTTGAGACTTCTTTTTCTTTTGGCACAGTTCTGAGGTTCAAATCTAGGAGTGCTCTACCACTGAGCTGAGCTATATCCTAGCCTGATGCAGGGTCTCACAAAGTTGCCCAGGTTGGGCTTCAATTTGTGATCCTCCTCCCTCAGCCTCCTGACTAGCTGTGAATAGAAGAGTATATAACTAGGCCTGAATGAAAGAAAACTTTTAACCCTAATCCTGCTCATTCATCTCCAGATCAAGATGAGGGTTCTTTTATGAAAAGTTACTGGCCTAGAAATGAGAACTTTTCACCATAACTGGTAGATGAGAAACTGAGAAGGGGAAGGTACTCTGTGGTTGACCCCCTTGAAACCTACCCACTGTTCCTAGGGCGCTAAGTCTGCAGTGATTCATACTTTGAACTTTGTCCTCTGAATTGCTGAGGATAATTTTTTTTAAAACCGGGCCTATGTGCAACTAAAATTATGCCTTCTCTTCTTTTCATGATATGTGTAATGACTACCATGCTAAAACTATTTTATTATCATAGAGAAGGAAAAGTACATTTTTAGAATGAGGTAATTACTTCTTGACTTTAAGGAGGCATCTCTGAACTGAGGTTTCTCATTTGAATTGCCAGTGTCCAAAATCACTGCCCAGGGGATCCTGGGACCTCTGCCAGGACCACCTCAGTTCACTTCCTGCACCCCTGGGAGTTTATCATTATCAAATTCCATCCTAGGAAGGGGTACAGATAATGCAAATAAGAGAATTCTCACCTCTTCTTTAGAAGATGAGCACCTAAGCTCTGTCTCAGGCCTAGAGAAGGAACTCTCTAGCTTGAGATATACAAATCTGGGGCCACTCTATTTAACAATGATATACTATACACATTGCAAAGGCATTCACTGTGCGCTAATTCTGTGTTATCTTTCCAACTGTTAGAGCCCATCAGCGTCTTAAGCTCCCACCAAGGATGAGCTAGATGCAGCTGCTTCAGCTTCAGCTGGGTAAACATTCAAACTCAGTATGGGAAAGATGTCCTCCCCGAGGGTGTAGGCAACTTTGTACAGAGTGCGAAGGAAATGATGACTTATTTCTGAAGAAGGCACTCAGCTGAGATTATTTTACAGACCCATCAAGAGGTCACAATTTGTCAACTGCCCCTTCCCATCTTTCTCTGATGAGATCAGTCCCTCTTTGTGCTGGCTGCCATGTTGCTAAAAGGACCTCTGCTCACCCTGAAGGGGGATCTTACCATAGAACCAAGACACAGCAATTGCTTCTATAAGCGCGACGGTGAGCACCGCAGGCCCTGTGGCATACTCCTCCAGCAGCTTCACCACATAAGCTCCTCCCTGAGAACGAGATTCCAATCTGTTAAGGGCCTCCTGAGGCCCTCCCCTTAGTGCAGAAGCCTGAAGCAGCTTTTGAACTTAGGGTAATGCTGGAAATTCCAACCTTGGACGTAGTCTCAGAGCCTACTTCTTAGAGTGGCCTTTGCACTGTGGGCCAGGTTTCACCTCAACAGACTCCTCTTCCTGCTCTACAGAGCCCATTATTATTATTATTTTCTGCTGGTGGGAATCAAACCAAGACATGCTCTACTATTCAGCCCCATCCTTAGAGCACATTTTTCTTGTTTCCGCTCCCCACTCAGGTTTAAGAGACAAACTCCAAAAGGCCTCTAGATCTATTTTCCATTTTCTTCAACTTATTGAACACTTGCTGTGTACACAACCGGGGAAACTGCCACCGCTAAAGATTAAATCTGGGAGGGTCCATGGTTACCAGATACATGGAGCACCTTTGTCAGCTTTGCCTTTCTCACCGAACTCCTGGCAACCTTGGATTATATGTAGCCTCTTACCCCACCCTCCCAAAGCTCCTAAACTGCTGAGGCCAAGACTTAAAGATTCCTATCTACAAAATGTGCCTTGAGTCAGGAGGACACATCCTAGGATATCTGTGGGATAGTATCTGATGTACGGTTTATCATATTTCCTTTAGTTACCAAAAAAACAAAAACAAAAACACCAAAGCATATCTGACTTCTTTCCCATTGTAAATTCTAGAGAAGACAAAGTGGCATTATACACATAAAGCACCCACCTCCCATTCTTCTGCGAATCAGAACAGGGCAATGTTCCCATGATAGCAGCCTTAAAGAGTGGAAATAAACTAGAAGTGCAAATTTTATTTTTTTTCCAGATATTCTGCCAAGACTGAAATATAATTGGGTCAATTGTAAAATGCTAACAGCCTCCAGATACTATGCATAGACTCTACAAATGGATGCTGCCAGAAACAACTTTTCTTCTCCTTGGTGACCAACTTTTTCCCCTGGTGCTGGGGATCAAACCCAGAGCTTCACACATGCTAGGCAAGCATTCTACCACCAAGTCACACCCCTAGGCCACGGTGACAAACTTTAATGGCACTGGCGACTCCCCTTCTTTTGGCCCCGAAACCAGGGAACTAGGTGGGGACAGGACAAAAGGAACAGCTTCTTATAGCATTTTGTTGCCCTAGTGGCCAACTCAGACCTGAGAACCTCGGTACTTACAAAAGTCAGGGTGGTCAAGGATCCAAAGAAGCAAGTAATGACCACAGCAAGCACAAACCACTCTCGGCGATTGGCCCAGATGTGCGGAAACTCATCCAGTACAGCGGTGATCACTCCCTCCAAGCCTGCAAACTGAGAGGTACACACAGCAGTCACAGCGAGAGCTGTGGGACAAGTCTGTGCTTTCGGGACAGTGAATAGGAGGAGGGGTAAGATTACTAAGTGACCAGTCAAGCTGATTATAACCAGTTCCCCTGATTCACTGGCCTGGGAACACCTCTGTAAAGTATATTTCCCTGATTTACACTGTCATTTAAAACCTATCACTAAGGACAGCCAGGAAAGAAAACATAACACATGGAGAGAATTTAAGTATGTGAACTCTCATTGGGAGTCTGGTTGTACCAGAAGGGCCAACTCAAAGCTGAGACTCACTCGACACTAGTAAGTGCAAGGTGCAAAGCTGAATGCTCAACAGGGCGAGCGCAAGGGAGAGCTCATTCTGGCCTTTAGGTGCCATCATCTGGTCAAGAGTCAGCATACAATAAGAAATGCACATATGCTGAGCCCTTCACCTATGCTAGGCACTTCCCCATGTTATCCCATTAATGACTCTCTAATGTGCTAGGGGTGGTGCGTGCCATGGCCAAGAAATGGGGAGCACCAGGAGGGAACAGGTAACACTGCCTGAGATAGCCAACATGGGAGGAAATGGCCTCTCTCCACCCTTCCCCTGTCCTTTTCATCCTCCCAGACCCCATTTTCCCTCCCTGTTTACTCACTGTGCTGTCCAAACCCAGTGTGATTAACATGAGGAAGAAGATGATGGCAAAAAACGTGGATGCTGGCATGTTGGCTATGGCTTCTGCATACGTGATGAAGAGGAGGCTGGGGCCTAAGCAGAAGGCAGAGAGGAGGAGGCAGTTTCTGAGATCTGTTCCATAAAGATGTCACAGAGTAAAATTCACCCACATGGGCAATTACAGTTACCATCACAAAACCTTCTGTGTGAACCAGGCCTTGCCACATATTAAGTGCTTCCTCACACTCCACACCATCTTACCTGGCCACCTTAGGATCCTGGGAGGCAGGAAGGAGAGAGTATCCACCTTGAAAATTGTGTGTCCTCAATTAAATGGGGGATAGAAACAGTCCTGAGACCCTAAGACTAGCAAAAGCAGTGCATAGAACGGGAGTTTCCTCCATATAACAATTTGGTGTTTTCAGTTTTTCAGCACCAAGACTGAAATTTCTAAAGTCCCACAGCAGTTAGCCCCCTCTGATGTCTTCAGCTCCAGAACAACAAAAAATGGAATAAAGACTTCCTGCTATTTTAAAGTCCCTTTTGATAGTGGGAGGGACATGTCTTCAATCTCTCATGGGCTAGCTAGGGGTGCCCTCATTCGGGGTACAACGTTGGTCAAAGTACTACATCAGGCCAAAAACACAAATAGGTTCACAAATAGCCCTGGGACTCCATTCACTAGATCCCATCACCTCTTTTTCAACATCTACCCACTTTTCTTTTTTCATGAAAACCTCACGGTAGATTGGCCACATCAGCTATCTTTTATTTTTCCACAGAGACGCATTTCTAAGCATTCGTAATTATTTCCCTACTCAACCAGACTCTGTAATACCATCACAAGACCCAAACCCACTGCTTTTTGCTTTGTTTTGCAGTAATGGTGACTGGTCTCAGGGCCTTACACATGACAGGTAAGTAATCTACTACTAAACCACATCCTCAGGCCTTTCCTTTTTTTTTTTTTTAAGAGGCAGAAAGGGATTTATTAGGCAAAATTTTTAAAGTACACATTTAAGGAAATAAAATGTGGGCATTCCAGTGAGACAGGACCATCGCATGATACACCGGGGCTGGGTACATTCATGGAGACTTTGGGGTAGAAAGAAATCTCAGTCCAGGGAAACAGACTATGGTCCTCTTCTGCAGAGGAACAGTGTGATGGCCACCAACAAAACCCACTGTGTAAGAGGAAAAGAATACACGAGACCCACTTGCAAGTAAAAAGGAATGGCCAAAGTTCATTCACAGGTAAATGGGTAGGAGCCAGGCATATTGTGTGCCTTTAAGAACTTTAGGGATTCTTTACTGAGTTTGTATTCCGAAAGTGCATTTTTTATTAAAAGTATAATTTAAAAATTTTAATTTTCCTTGACTTCATTTTACCTATCTTTATTCTTCTATCCTACCTCAGATTCACCCCACCTGGTGGGTAGGTGAGCCAGACAATCTCAGAGGTCTCTCCTGTGGTGTCCAGCAGCACCTCTGCCAGAGAGAAAGGGATACAGTGCCAGGAGCAGCCACTATATCCCCAGGGGACCCAAAGAATGTCCCTCTCTGGTCCATTTCGCTTGGCAGCAGGAGCTCAGGTGCTGTCAGGAACCTGTCTCTGAAATACCTGACACAGGTCCCTCATGATCCCCCTGCTTCCCCTCTTTCATGCCTTCACTCTTTTCTGCCTCTTGGAGCCCTCCCCTTGTCCACCACACCTGTCTCCACTGGCAGGTGGGTGTATCCTGCCTCCTCCTTACCTTCCAGAGCCAGCACTGAAGGCCCCAGGATCAAGACCTACAGGCTGCACATCATCCCCGCCACTCTGATCCTCCACCTCACAGCAAACCTCAGTAGACATGGAGCATCTTCACAGCTTCCACCATTGCCCTGGCCACCACCCTGCTCCCAGGTGGGGCTGTCCCAGCCCTTTTTTAATTTTGAGACAGGAACTTGCTAAGTTGCCAGGTTGGCCTTGAATTGCTATTCTCCTATCTCAGCCTTTTGAGTCACTGGGATTACAGGTATATGCCACCACCCCTGACTCCAAAGCCAATGATTTTAAAGCCAACATCCAAGTCATACTTTCAAGTTCATCAAGTGTTGAAGGCACCAGTACTAGGCACAAAGGGAGCTGACATATCCCCAGTAGCCTAAATGCATGCAAAGGATTTAGATCTCCAAAGCAATAAGTTTCTTTCAAATCTTTGAAATTTTAAAGGATCATTTAAAAATAACTCAAAAGTGAGATATTTGTAAATATTCAAAGCAAAGCATTATAATATGATCAGGAACCTACATAGAGCCCAACGTCCTACCTGCATCTTTGGCCACCTCGGATACATCTTCATTCCTCATCTCAGCCATATACCCCAGCACCGTGAAGATGACAAATCCCGAAATGAAGCTTGTCATGCAGTTCACCGAACTGGTCACCAGGGCGTCTCTAGAGTAGAAAACCCAAGGGGCCTGAGACAGTTCTAGGGTGAGGAGTCTAAGAAGCATCAGCCTGTGTACCGCCTCTGCTGACATAGGCCAGTGTGGTTCAAAGGACCCCTACACTGTCCTGGTGTCCCTTTTTCTCCTCCCAGGGCCCAGGCTCTCGGACATGAAGTTCAAATACTGTGACACATAGCATGGGTGGAGTAGCAGGGAGCGGTTATTTTAACAGGTAATTCTCTGTGAAATATCACAACACAGACCTCTCTGTTCAGCAGAGCGTTGGTTGTTCTAGAGCAAGGCCCAGGCTAGAGGGTGAGGCACAAGATAGAGTCTTCTTTTTTTTAAATTCTTTTGGTACCAGGGATTGAACTCAGGACCTTGTGCTTGCCAGGCAGATGCTATGCTAGAGCTAAATCCCCAGACCATAAGATAGAATCTTGGCCTCAGGTTTGTGAAGTCCTCACATCAGATGTTTGACACAGCCTTCAGTTGAAGTCACAGAACTGGGACAAAGGAACCTTTATTTTTTTCTTTTTAGTACTGGGGATTGAACCCAGGGCCTTCACACTGAGTTATAGTCCAAGCTCTTTCTTTATTTTTTTATTTTGAGACAGGGTCTCACTAAGTTGCTAAATGGCTCAAGTTAGGCAATTTGTGGTCCTCCTGCCTCAGCCTCCCAGAGTAGTAGGATTTCAGGCATGTGCCATCATGCCTGGTTTAACCTATTACATTTTTAAAAGAAGACCTCATCAGACAACTTCAGGCTGGTGTCCTAGTGCAAGGTCATATTGCTTAGGGCACAAATGAACTCCTTATTTAAAAAAATAAATCCTATAATTATTTTATGAATGGCACAAATAGATTGTTGGACATTGCTCTCTTTGATAGGACAACTGAGTCCAGAGGTGATAAGTGACATTTAAGTGATAACCAGTACAACACTCCTTGTTTTGTTAAAATATCTGAAGTGAGATTTTTCCATAAAATGGCATCTGTGTTGGTCAAAATAATTCCCTCATTATATTTCTGGTATACATAAGTAACTGATCACATCACAATTTCTGTCATTAAACATATTAACTAGTGAAGCCCAAATATTTAGTTATATGTTGTAATTTTTGAAAACCCGCTATACAATTTTTTAATTATTATCTTTATTATATAGAGAGACTCACGCAACAGAAGTGGTCCGGAGCCTCTCCCACAGGTGAAATGCCAGGCAGCTGTGACATTCCTGAGGCAGTACTGTCAGAGCCCAATCCCAGCCAAGTTTGAGGCCATCAGTTCAGTCACCTTTACTCCCAACTGGCTAACTTTCGCTCACTCCACTTCCGAACTCTGCTTGGGAGCCCCAGATACTCACTGGTAACAGTTGTTGTTGAACTTGTTATAGCTGGCAAAAGCCAGGAGGACCCCAAAGCCTGGACCAAGAGAGAAGAATATCTGAGCAGCAGCATCGATCCACACCTGGAAACAGCAGCGGAAGGACACAGGGCTGAGGATAAGACCCAGTCTGCTGCAAGGTCACAGCAGAGCAGCAGCTCTCGCGCCTCCATGTGGCTACATTCAGGGCAATAAAACAGCTTTTGAGGCTCATTCCAGGGATGGTCACATACTCAGTGCAAACATACGTGATTTATCTTCCTGTCATTTAGGCTTACACCCATCCAGGGGCCTCAAATTGTACTTTTGATGTTTGTATTTCTGGTTTAAAGCATCATTGCAGGCTTGTATGTTGAAACTAAATTTCATCTGTCCCTACTGTCCTACTTGAAGGAGAATTAGCTTCATCTAATTAATGACAGACAGGCACACATTGTCTCTGTCAGTATCTTACCCCCGTCTCCAGTAGTTTCTGCCAGTTCGGTTTCAAGTAGAAGAGAACACCCTTCCATGCCCCTGGGAGTGTGGCCCCCCTCACCAGCAGTATGGAAAGGACGATATAAGGAAAGGTAGCTGTCACCCACACCACCTGTAAGGAAGAAGAGCAGAAACTCAGGTTATCACCATGCTGTTCCAGAAAGAGCAAGGAAGGGAGATGAGTGGGTGTCAGTGTTGTTTTCTTAAAGACTGAGAAAGGAGATCCACCTTTTTATTCTGTCATTTTAGGAGACAAGGTTTCTGTGGCAGAAAGATTTACGCCTTCAGAATCAGAGAGGGATCTGACCAGCTTGGCCAGTATTACCTACTCAGAAGCCTGCACCACATGTCAAAAGAGGGAATATTTAGCAGGAAATAATACATTTAACCAGAGTAGACAGAGCATCAAGCATGGCCCATAATAGTTTTTTAATGAATTATTGCCATTATTGCGGTGGGGGTGTTGTTCAGTGGTAGAGCACTTGTTTAGTATGTGCAAGGCCCAAGGTTCCATCCCCGACACTGAAAAAAACTATTGCCACTAACTGTGTGATTCTACCAGTAGGTTTAAGGAATTTTGAAAACAGAATTATATAATGGTTCTTAGTACTGGCCCATTTCTAGAATTTTCTAACCAATATAGTAGAGAATGAACTTCATGGAAAGTGTTTGGTGTTGAAGGAAAAATGATTGTCTCCTGACCATGGCTGTCTAGGCTACTGGGTTCTGGGTTTGAAACACTGTGGGGCCCCCTTGGCAGGCCTAGATTAGCAGCCAGAGTCCTCCTCACCTTGCCAGATGTCTTCACACCTTTCCAGATGCTAAAGTATATAATGGTAAAGATAAGCATGATGCAGAGGGTAAGCTGCCAACTGATGCCCCCCATGTCCTGGAGTCCCTTAGACCGGTGGATCTGTAGGATGTGACGTCTGCAGTGAAAAAGAAAGGAAGGCCTATGACAGGATCTGGACAGTGATATAATCACATAGTCTATGATGCCTCCAGGAAGGTACATAGAAAAAAATGACACAATGTTGCAAGGTCCAAATGGTCACTGAGCCTCAGTGTTATAGTTTAAATATCAAGTGCCCCCAAAGACTCACATATTGAAGGTTTTATCCCCAGTACAACAATTTTCAGTGGAGGAGGATCTAGAGAAATGATTGGATCATGAAGGATAAATCCACTGAAGAGGTCATAATTTATGGGAGGTGATGGAAACGGGAAGTAGGGCCTAACTGAAGGAACTGGATCATGGGGGTGTGATCTTGGGGACTAGATCTGATCTGTAGTCCCTTCCTCTCTGGCCTTCTTGCTCTCTCTTTGCTTTCTCTCTTCTTGTGTGCCATAAGGTGAGCAGCTTTCCTCCACCATACTCCTCCATCATGATGTACTATCTCCTCAGGCCCAGAAACAATGGAATCAGTTGACCATGGACTGAAACCTCTGAAACTATAAGCCAAAATAAATCTTTCCTCCTATAAGTTATTTTTCTCATGTGTTTTGTTACGGTGATGGAAAGCTGACTGACACACCCAGGAAAGGCTGAGATGGGCCCTATTGATCCAGAAGGAGCAAGCAGCACATTCAGCTGACAGGCCCTGGGAATACTTCTGGCCCAGAGCTTGGCCAGAAGTACAGAATGCAGCCTGGCCCAAAGGAATACTTCTGGCTTCTCTGTTGCTGACTGCAACCTGAACCTCTTTGACTAACATGACTGGCTTTTGGGAACATGAACATTTATGGGTGTAGGCCATGGGCCCTACCCCCACCCATACAGTAGCTTTGTCTTTGGGATACCCTTGCTTGAAATTCTTGCATTAAAGAATACTACTTTCTGCAAGCATGCTCTTCCAAAGAGCAGATCCCACTCATGAAATTAACACAAAATCAGAAACTCTTTGAGTCATTTCAAACTACTGAAGAAAGAAGCTGGAGGCTTTATTTCTGTGATAGTTTGCTGAGAGTAGGACCTAGGAAGAAGGGCATTTTTGATACAGGAGAATAATTTTGTGCATATTGAAGTAGGCTGACCAGGCACATGGGAAAGAAGAGGTGGCACAGGAAGGCCAAGTGCAGCACTCAAGGTAGAATATCCCAATTTTAAATCCTGCTGTAGGTTGATCATGCCACCCCCTTATTCACATTCACTCCCCCAACCCTGACAGCTTCTCCTCTCAGAAATCTGCTAGGAGAGCTGTGAAAAGGCCCTGGTCCCTACCTGCCTCCTAAGAAGTCAGACCTCGGTGGTGTGGCCTACCCTGATAAACCACTCCCTCACTTACTCACACTTACGTATAAAATTCTTCAGCAGGGGACGTGGAGTGGAGTGTCCAGGTGACATTGTCCTCGGAGAAATAGTTGGTGCAGTTTCCAGTGTTCCAGGAGTTCCTGCAGCTGGTCCAGGGTAGTTGGTCCGTGAAGGAGGAGATGAGGTAGTAGAGCGCCCAGGCCATGATGGTGTTGTAGTAGGAGGCAATGTAAAAGGCAATGATGCAGATGGCATAGCCAATCCCTGGGCAGTAGGTGAGAGAGGCCAAGGTCAAACAGCCCACCAGCAAAAGGCTGAGACAGTGCACTGGGTAGTTCCACAGCCCAGGTGAGGGGTAGAGACGGTTATTGCCACCCATTTCATTTCCAAAAGACTCCAGGAGATGGTGGGAAGAGTGGAAATGTAGCAAATTACTCATCTGTATTTACAAGCATTTGCCATTATTTTTGTTTTAGAAATTTACTGATTTTTAAAGTTTTGGTTTACTTTCCATTGTTATTTATTATTTCTTAAATGCATTCCACTTGAGCAATCAAAAATTTAATGACTCAAGTCATCTCCTAGAGATACCTAAGGCCTAAGTAATTCCAGAAGCAGGTCCCCAGCACCCACCCACTGATGGAAATGCCCCACTGCCTACCCACCCAACCCCTTCATTACCTTTGAAAATTGGGCAGATTTTCCTCCATATAGAAATGCATCCATTTCGGTGGTACTGACCCAATGCAAGCTCCATGTAAAAGAGTGGAATCCCTCCAAAGATGGCCATGATGGTGTAGGGAAGGAGGAATGCTCCTGAGGCAAGTAAAAGACAATTTCACTTCCTTTCCACATCTGTCCCAGGACAGCTCAAATGATCTGGACAAGAGAGTTCACATCAAGAATCACAGAGCAGGGCTGGGGATTTAGCTCAGTGATTTCCCTGCCTGCTGTGCAAACACAAGGAACAGAGTTTGATCCCTGGTACAAAAAAAAAAAAAAGAATCACAGAGCCACCCGAGGCTGGAGAATCACAAAGCCACACACTGTGCTTTGCCAGAAGTAATAGTAGACAGGGCTCCATGGCTAAGATGAAGGTCCAAGAGGAGGCTGATAGAGAAAGTGGAAAGAAAGCTGAGTTGAAAGTCAACAGCAGGAACTGGGACCATCTCCATTTTTGGCTCTCTTGAGAATCTAGGCCACTTTCCCTCTCTGAGCCCTAATTTCCTCCCCTGTAAGGTGACTGGGTAGAGGAGGGATGAGGTTTTCAAACCCAGAGACATATCATAATCACTTGTGAACTTTAAAGTACATCCCTAGATTCCAGGGTCCACCCTGAATCTTCAGAAGCAGATATGTGTGGGTGCGATGCAAAACTATTTTCAAGCTCCCTGTGTGATTCTGATACAACCAGTATGGGGGCTCCTGGGAACAGAAGCCTGTGGGGATCTATACAACCATAACCATCAATGAATCACTGAACCAGATAGAATCTTTGCTCATCAGTATTACCTATGGCTCCAGACATTTGATTACTGATATTTGGCTGTATGTCCGTAATTTCATTGAGGCAGAATGATCCTCACAAGCCACCTTTGGGTGCATAGCTAAAAAGGTAGTTTGTGATGAAAGAAGAAAGCACAGCACTGCTACATAACTGGAGATGCTAGTGTCTCTCAGATCTTGTGGCTGATGCTAAATTTGGAAATGTCAAGTTAGGGTTTGCTTCCTTGCAGCCTGCCTTTAGCCCAAAGGTCAGCTATGATTTTCCCTGATAACTTTCCCTCCTATAAAATGCTCTGGTCTTAGAAACCTGAAGTCAGGTTTCTAACTATTCATCAGGGTCCATGTAACTTAAAATCATGCTCAATAAACTTGCTTGAGAATAAAAGCCACGTTGTGTTTTTGTGGCCTTTGTCCAAGGGATTTGCTTGATCAGTATACAATAAGAAACACTACCAGTGACCCAGCACTTATATAACCCTGAGGCTAAAGGTGAGTCCTCCCAAGCTGGCGATAAGCTGAGTGTGATTACGACTTTCGCTCCTGCCAGGCAGGAAGCTTCAAACTTCCCAGAGACCCCCAGGGAACTGCCTTTGTAGTCACAGGGACGGAAGTCCTTAAGAGATCTAGTAAATCAAGGCAACTCTGTGTCAGCCATGGAAGAAGTGAATGTAACTCGAATTATCTCCCAAACTTCATTTCAGCTGCCCTTCCAAGTCTGTTTCCGATCAAAATAAACATTAACTGATCAACACCTATTTCCTCTTGACTTTTTCCTATCATGATAAAAGCCCAATGTCATCACAGAGGGCCCATACTTACTCCTCTCCCTGCCCTGCTCTCTCCCAGGCTTCCACATTTACACCTGCAGTCAGCTAAGATTTTTGATCATCTACAAAGTAACTGTTCAAAGATTTAAGGTTACAAGGAGGAACAATATGATTTCTGGCCGCCAACACTCTATCCCCTGCAGCAACTTCCTGAGTAGCTGGGTTTACAGGCCTCTGCCTCCATGCCCAGCTAACACTTTTTTTTCCCAGCATTGGGAACTGATCCAGGGCCTTCACAATGAGCTACATTCCCAGCCCTTTTATTTTTTATTTTGAGATAGGGTCTCACTAAGTTGCGAAGTTGCCTAGGCTGGGCTCAAGCTTCCCAGCCTCCCAGAGTCCTGGGATTAGAGGCACAGGCCTCCATACCTGGCTCAGCTAACACTCTGTAAGAGACCCAAGTATATCCATGCACGATTTGGAGTTGGCATTAGTGTCATGCTGTGGCTGAGTTCAGCTTTGGATTATTCTCAGACTGGTACCCTAAGATTCCAGACCCAAGCTGATGCCATGCTTTGATGTCATGCAGGTCCAAAGGCCAAGAAGGGTCTGGAAACACCTCCCAGTTTTTCCTTATGCAGATTTGACTCTTTCAGACTCTTCCACACAGCACCTGCCAACAGGAGTGAGGGAACTCAGCGCAGTGCTGATGGCCATTCCTTGGCTCCCGGCTTGGTAGAGGACAGAGCTTGGATGATGCAGGATGAGAAGGAGACCCTTCAATACAAACGATGCAGGACTAGGTGAGGTCTGGTTTGGGATGCTTCCATCCTGTTCGTAACCCAGAAAGCCTCCAACTAAGCTTTTAGCTTACTGGAGATTTGCCTTCTTTTTTTTTTTGGTACCGGGGATCAAACTCTGGACCTTGTGCTTGCAAGGCAGGCGGCAGAACCACTGAGCTAAATCCCCGGCCCTGGAGATTTGTCTTTTAAACTACAGTAAAGACTAAATCGTGTTCCCAGACTCACATCAGTTACACAAAACAACAAAGATGTGATCTGTGTTCTGGCCTCCCACAAGACCTATAACCCACCCTGGACCAAAGCCTCTACACAGGCCCAGGATACTGACCTCCTCCATTCTGGTAACATATGTAGGGAAAGCGCCAGATGTTGCCCAGGTCCACAGCATAGCCGATGACTGAGAGGAGGAAATCCACCTTCTTGCCCCAGGTCTCCCGTTCCCCTTGATGCACCTCAGCCACTAGGGTGGTGGTGGCAGCTGGGACAGAGTGCCCAGTGTCACCCCCCGAGCTAGAGCTGGGAGCTGCTGAGTACCCATTGGATATCTGGCCAGACTCTGTTTTATCCCCTGACGCAGGAACACTCTTCTGTAAAAGGCTGTTTTCCTGACAATCCTCTCTGTCCTTATACACCGACAGTGTCTTCTGAGAATTCAAGGGTGTGGTCTCCATCTTGCTGGTTAGTAAATAACACTGATGCCCATCTGCCAAGGATCTGAACTGAATTCCTGGTGTTTGGCGTTGTGGATCTCCCCGGAGTTGTACAGCGATGGGATTGAGAGCTCTATTGGAAAGGCACACAGAGAAAGAGCAAAATTAGGTACTTTGCTTGTCTTCAGTATTATATATCATACATCATACATCTTAATCTACATTAGGTAAAGTGACTACTAATGCACCTATTAAATGTGAACTGGGAAGCTGGGTAGGGTGATGCACACTTATAATCCTAGTAGTTTAAGAGGCTGAGGCCCAAAGATCTCAAGTTCAAGCCAAGTCTGGGCAGTTGAGTGACTAAGTGAGACTCTGCCTTAAAATTTTAAAAAGGGATGGGGATGTATCTCAGTGGGAAGGCCCTGAGTTCAATCCCCAGTACTGAATTAGAAAAAAGTAAGCCAGAATATTACATTTTCCAACCTATTCAGGGCATCAAATCACAACCAAGTAATCTGAAAAGGAAGTCACACACACCTACACACAAAATAAGACATCAACTAGGTAAGGTTTTACACAGACTCTCTGAAAACAAGCACTCCCTTTGAGGGACCAGAATCTCACCCTGTAGTACATCAAGAACTCAAGAATGTTGGGAGAGCTCACTCCAAAGTGTCACAGAGCACTCTCTCATGGCTCTGTGCTGGGAAAACAACAAACAAAGCAGCAGTTTCTGCCTCCAGGTAGGGAAGGACAGTTCTGTCCATCTTTAAGCTGAATTCTCAAAGTTAGATCCCACATAAACTATACATATGATCCAAAAAAGAAAAAAGCAAAGGACAGAGGTAAAAGGCCATCCCTTGTGAGGTGCCCCAATTTGTTGGCTGGGGTCTTTTTCATTCATTAGCCCAGCTCTGAGAAGCCCTGGGGAGTTCCAGCTGCTGCAGGACACGTGCAATCTGCCTGTACTTGGCCTTCTGCCTTCCTGGTGAGCCTCTGCAGGTCCCATTGGGCCGCAGGTAGTGCTGCTGCTCACCATTCATTCTTCTTGCCACTCGCCAGCAGCTTCTGTAGCTAGGCCACACATCAGTCTCATCTGGGAGAGCCAGGGAGACAGGCATGCGAGTCCCGTCGTCCACTGATGACGTGCATGGTGTCCCTGTCTCCTTCTGGCCCTGTGGAGAGGTTTGGGCCAGGATCACTGTACCTTCATTTTGCTGCCGTGGGCCAGAGAGCAGGGAAAGCAGCTCCGCTCTCCTCTGGACTGAGGTCTGAGACAGCAAATGTGGGGTAGAAATCTGAGCCCTTTTGGACTTTAAACCTTTGACCTGTTATAAAGCTGCAAGCTGCCAAGACCTTCCAGCTCACTTCATTTCTTTTGAGCCTGAGTTTTCAAACTCTTGAAACAGTTAAGGAATTGAAATATGTCTCTGCTTAGTTAAGATAACCTAACACTTTTCTAGAAACACATTATTCCTGCTATTCACCATTGCAAAGCCCTGAAGCCAGCTCTCCAATCCAACAGCAGGAGGGCTAGATACTAAAAATGGCAAATGTGCAGTACGTCTTCTACCTATCTGGGGCTTTCAGTGACTCTGAGTTAACTATCTACACATAGAAATGTGAAGACTAAAATGTAGTGAGTGAAAAACTAGAACACAAAGCAGTAGTGCCTTCACTTTGAAGACATGAACACCAGGGAATGAGAGTAACTAGGGTTTTGTGTTCATTGGGTTCCTCTTTTTTCTATCAAAAGGAAAATAAAATTTTAAAAGGGATCGATTGTTGCCAAAAATACAGCAACAAGAGATAAATCAACTCTATGTAACTAGGGTGTGTGTGTGTGTGTGTGTGCGTGTGTGTAGGAGGCGTAAGAGAGTAGATGTCCTGGTATCCAGCTGTTTGGCCTCTACCCCCTATCCTATCTGTATTGATCAGCTTTTCTTTGCTGTGACAAAATACCTGACAACTTAAAGGAGGAAATGGGTTGTTTTTGGCTCATGAGTTCAGAAGTTTCAACCTAAGGTTAGCTGCCTCCAAGGCAAAAACATCATGGTAAAAGGGCATGGCAGAGAAAAGCTGTCCAATTTATGCCCACCAGGAAGCAGAGAGTAGAAGGGGAGAACTTGAGAAGAAGGCACAGGGACTAGATCTAGTCCCCAAGATCACGTCCCTGTGGTCCACCCAGACACACCCACAAGTGTGTTTACTAATCTAAGCATCTGTCAAGCCAATCAATTTGACAGTCGAGACTAACCACCACACCATCCTGGGCTCAAGGATGCAAGAATACGAATTTCTGACACAGCACCCTAAATAAAACCTCACTCTGCCTGCTCATCCTTTATGTCTGGCCTCTCCCTGATCTCCACTCTTGCTTGGGACCACAACTATACTTAACAGATCTCTCTCTCTCTCTCTCTGTCTCTCTCTCTCTCCCTCCCTCCCTCTCTCTTTTGTGTATATGTGTGTGTTTGTGTGTCTGCTGCTGGCAACTAAACCCAGAGCTTCATGCATGCTAAGCAAGGGTTCTCCCACTGAGCTACAACCCCAACCCCATAGACTTTTAAAATAAACACATTATCAGGTCAAGGAATTTTTTGAGAGAAAGGAAGAGAGAGAGATTGAAGTATGAACTTTTGAAAATACACAGCTAAGTTAACCTTGAACTTGGTGGTCTCTGTTTGTATTGTTTGAGGCCTCTGTACTCTGTCGGGCTTAAATCAATGACTTTTTTTTTTTTTTTTGGTACAGAGATTGAACTTGGGACCTTGCACTTGCAAGGCAGGCAACGGGACAGAACCACTGAGCTAAATTACCGGCCCAAATCAGTGACTTTTTTTTCCACACTAAGCCCCCAAGAATCTCAAGATCAAGAGCTTCACTGCAGGGGGCCAGATGCACCCAGCTGACAAAACCTGCCCTGTGACAGCCACCCTCCTTGTTCTTTCTTCTTCCACCCTCCAAAATTTTCTCTTAAGAACTTATCTTCAGGGCCAGGAATTTAGCTCAATGGTGCTGCTGCCTGCCTCATAAGCACAGGGTCCTGAGTTCAATCTCTGGTTTCCTGAAATATCCCTCAGTACTTTTTAACTTGATAGAAAAGGAAAAAAAATTTAAACTCATTGAGAACACCCCTCAGGCAATGCAGGATTTCGGGTTACCTCTAATGGCATTGGTTTTACCACATCCAGCTCTGCTTTCTGGGGCTCTCCTACTGTGCCCACTCTTGATCATGAAAACTGGGGGAAGCACAGAAAGTTACAGTCACTCAGAACCACCACACAGGCATGCATGGCTCTTTTTCAACTCATTCACCCGCCTCTCCCAGTTAGAGAAAACCCCTGTTACAAATCTGGGGGTCAGGAGCAGACAGCCTGTGCCTGGGCCCCTTTTTCTCCATGGAGCCCAATTCCTCTCCCACCTTCCTGACTCTGCAGAGCCCTCTTCAGCTTTTTCCACTGAGACCACAGAAGACAATGGTTGAGAGCAAGTTGGCCCAGGGCTGTAGACATAGGAGTGGTTAAGCAGGGTGGTTTCTGAGAATGCTCTCTTGAAAGCTTTCTTTTGTAAAAGATCTTTTTGTCCTGCTGGTTAGGAAGATGGCAAGCGAGGTCTGTGTGACAGTGGTGAACTCCTCTAGGCATTATTTGAGTTGCTCCAAGGCTAGAAGAAGTCCCAAAGCCTCTCTTTGCCCCTTGAATGTGTGCAGTTGTTCAGGCCAAGGAGGTGACAGGTTGCACATGGTGCCACGTGATTCAGTTCTGTTGTGGGATGTCAACTGGATGCTCCAACACCAGGTCTCCACACCTGAGGAGCAGCAGGGTGATACGGTTGTTGGAGGTCACAGGTGACTTTCTGTTTGTGCTCCTGTTGCCTCTTGGCTAATTCTCCACCACCCTACCCCACTCCCAGTTTAAAAAAAAAAAGGATTGCTTTTATTTAAACTTCTAATCAAATCTCCATTCCTCTTTCCACAAACTCTGTCTCTGTAGCCAGGGGAACTCATATCTAAACAAGCAAGTAATTATAACGATTAGTCATAAAACCACCCAGCCCTCCGGAAATGCCTGTGACTTGGCTTGTCTGTTGGGTGCCCATCAGCACCATCTAAGCAAAAGCACTGTAGAAATTTTATACTTTACTTCATGTGTCAAGATCAAAGTGAATTCACTTTGCAGGATCCTCAACATTCACTTTCAATAAGAAAACCAAACCCCATCATGAATTATGGGTTGAACACTGGAATGCAATTAATTATAGGTCATCAAGCCAAGTGGCAATTTGCACAGTTTATACAGAGAGTCTGAAATTCCCAAGGCACCTACCAAAGATGACAGAAATTAGGGAGCTCTGGTGCCTCCCCAGGCAATAAGCATCGAAGCCCCACCCCCGTGACTGACTCGGAGAAGCACTGATTCAGCAAAGCCACCCTTGTGCCTACAGGATGAAGACAGCATTGCCTTCATGGAACTCACAGTACGAGGCCAAAATCTGGAAAGGATGACAAACTGTGAGACAAGAAGCCAGGCTCAAGGAGCTGGAGGCTGGGATTCTGCTGTGCCACACACATCTGTGGCTAGGATTCCTGCCGACGTGATGCTCCAGCTCCAAAGTTTCCCCAGGGTTGTACAAGTCTCCTGGAGCTACTGTTCCACAGTTTCCATCACAGCACCTTGGAGTTTACTTGATTCTTCCTCATAGGCTCCACTGTTAGGTGGTGGCTCATGTTTGTACCTGTTGAGGGACTGCTGAGTTTTCCAAAGATGTGGTGCCATGTTATAAACCATAAGGACCCCAGCTTGCCTTTCAAGTAAAAGAAAGAGACCAGGTCTATAGATGAAGAGGGTAGAGAAAATCTGCTTGTTTTGTGGACATACAGGGTAGACATGAACTCCACTACCACAGCCATCTCTTTATCCAAATTATTCCTTATACGACAGAGTGAAACAGTTTCATTTTGGGGAGAGGAATTAAGTAGGATAAAGTCTCCAGAGCTGTTTGGGCCAATTACCAGAAGACTGGCTATCTATGATTGATCCAGATCTCTCTAGAAGCTAGCCAGAGGTACAATAGATCATTTAGACTTTCATAAAAATCCAACAAGAAGTGGATTTGGCATAAGCAGCC